CCTGCAACGGGGAAAGAGCCGCCGCCACGCATCTCGTAAAGACCCGAGGAGAGAGCGAGAGGCCGAAGGGAAGCACCCTGAACTGGAAGTGCCTCCCCTGAAAGGCAAAACGCAGGAACCGGCAATGCTGAGGAGCAATCGGGACGTGAAAGTAGGCGTCCTTCAGGTCTATCGACGTGAACCAGTCCCCAGGGGACACCGCCTGGAGGACCTGCCGGACACGCAACATCTTGAAAGGGAGGACCTTCAAGAAAACATTCAGACGCCTCAGGTCCAAGACCGGTCGCAAGTCGCCGGTCTTTTTCGGTACAAGAAAATAACGGGAATAAAAGCCCCCTGGATCCAGCAGGGGGTCGACAGGCACGATGGCATCCTTGTCCAGTAGAGTACGAATCTCCCGGACAAGTGCCTGCGCCCTGACCGGGTCCTGGATGACAGTCACAAGGACCCGGCCGGGAACAGGAGGCCGGCGGCGGAACTGGAGACGATACCCCACGGACAAAGTGGCCACAACCCATGCATCGGGGGATTGGGCCCTCCAGTAACCAAGTTGTCCCGGGGTAAACCGTCCCACCACCGGCCCCGGCGCCTCACCGGAGGGCACCCCGGCCTTTAGCGGGCCTGGGGGGGCGACGACTGGGACGCAGTGGAGCCTGAGCCGGGGGAAAGTTCCCCCGCCGAGCCCCATGAGCCGACGGCCCATCCACCGTCCGGGGCACAGAAAAACTCCGGGGCGGGGCCACCCGCCCGCGCACAGGGGCAGCAGAAGCGGACGCACGCGGGGGATGCCTGTGCAGTCCCACCAACTGCTGCCGGGTCTGAGTGGCCTGGACCGTGCGCTCCAGAGCCGCAATGGCAGCCGAGCCAAACAGCTCTCCAGGGAGCACAGGAACGCTCCTCAACACTCTGCGGCTGGCCTCGCCTCGAGAGAGGGGACTGCGCCAACCACACCTGGCGGCGAGTCTGAACCAGCGTAGAGAGGAGACGCCCCAGTTCCCTAGACATGAAGGCAAAAGCCTGCAAGGAAGCATCCACCATCCCCTGCGTGGACTGGTCCAATGTGACAGCCTCCAGAGAAGCGGACAGCCCCAACAGCAGATGAGACAGGGAGTTCCCAATGCGGCCCATGCGGGCCCCCATGTCATAGGCCTTGCAGAGCAGGTCATCTGTGGCCCGACACTGCGGCCGAGGGCACCGGGCATTAGTGCGCAGAGCCTCTTCAGGGTGTACAATCAAGGAGGCAATGGCAGGCTCCACCGCCGGCAATATGCCCCAGGCCAACTTTGTCAGGCGCCTGCATAGAAGCCAGGGCCCGACCGTCCGAATTGGGCCTAGAAAAAACCCTCGTGTCAGTCCAACAGGCATGTAGCTCCTTGACATATTCCGCCGAAGGAGGAACAGAGAACCCCGAGGACGCAGACTGGCGGCGAAAGAAGGCACTCGAGGGCCCCGCATCGCACTGAGGCACATCCAGCTTCAAATGCGCCAGAGCCGTTCGGATCGCCGCAGTCACGGGCTCATCGGAAACCGACAGAGACCCGACAGAACCCACCGAACCAGACTCCGAGACCCTGGAGCTCAGAACATCAGAGCCCGGCCGAAAATGTGTGTCAGATGCCGCCACCGAGAGAGCATCATCCTCATCGCACACCGACAAAGGGACCGAGACCGGTCGGGCCACCGACTGGCCAGTACCAGCCTGAAGGTCATGAAGGAGGGTCCGCAACTGAGCCAACTCCACAGAAAGCGAATCGACCTTCGAAGTCAGAACCCCGCGACCAGAGGACTTCGACTTCTTCCGCGGAGGGTCATCACCCCGGGCGCCCTCACGTTTGCGACCAGGGGGTCGGTCAACCAACAGGGCAGACTCACAGTCCCCAGAATCGCCACTGAAATGTCCGTCCAGGGCCGACAGGCGGGCCACGCGCACCGGCCAGGGCATTACCGCACAATCGGGACATGCACGCTCGGTTAGCGCCTCCCGCAGGTGGCCCACACCCAGACAGGAGGGACACAGCACATGGCCATCGTCCTGCTGCATCGGGGCCAGACAGGACTGGCAGGCCAACGGCTCAAGCATCCCAGCGAGCTAACGCGCAGGAGCAGTCGCCGCCAAGTACAGGGGCACTCCCGGTAGGGTCAGGTCGAGCAGAGACGCCACTAGTGACCCACCGAACGCCTCACAGGTTCAGGGAACAACCAATACAGCAGGGTCAGGTCGAGCAGAGACGCCACTAGTGACCCACCGAACGCCGTACACGTGCCGGGAACAACCAATACAGCAAGGTCAGGTCGAGCAGAGACGCCACTAGTGACCCACCGAACGCCGTACACGTGCAGGGAACAACCAATATAGTAGGGTAGTGCGAGCAGAGACGCCACTTACAACCCGCAGAAACGCGTGGAACACGCGCAGGCAACAGCCAATTCAACAGGGTCAGGTCGAGCAGACACGCCACCAGTGACCGACAGAAATTAACAAATAATTAACAAGGTAATTAACAAGACACAGGGTCAGGTCGAGCAGAACGCCACTGGTAACCCACCAAACACACTCTGAATACGCGCAGGTAAACAGCCAGATAACAGGGTCGGGTCGAGCAGAAACGCCACTAGTAACCCCTCAATTATAAGAAGTAACGAAAAACAACCGAGCACAAGTCACGGCGAATAAGCAAAACAAACACTCACCAGAGGCAAGCAGCGCGGCTTGCGCAGCCCACGGAGGGCGAGAAACTCGCAGCACCGACCGACGAGCAGTCACGGGGCTACAGGCAGCAAGCGGCGCGAACAACAGGCACAAACAGCTATCAGTTAGCTTCAGCCAGACTCATACAACCTGCATGCGAGAAAGTGAAAAGGGACTGTGCTTCCGGTGTCACGTGGCTTTATAGACTCTCGCGTGAGCTACCGGAGGTCACGGGTGACTTTGTTGTTATTTGACTCTCGATCTGTGCATGCGCGAGGATGATCATCCAGTGCTTAAGCACCGCCTCTGGCGGTCAGGAAGGATGAAATAGAACTAATGGTGTGAGACCAGAAGGAACAAGTACATCAGTCAGTTATGCATTATGGATATAAAATATATTCATTTATATTAGGGCTGTCAAAATTATTGCGTTAACGCATAATAATTAAAAGTTTACATTAATCGCGTTAAAAAATTAACTCCTTAATTTTCCAATGTTTTTTTGAAAGTCACTCCAAAAACTTCTCCCTTTGTGTGTCAGAAACAATTATATTGGGGCTTCTGCGGGTGTTTTTGGTGGTAGGTAGGGGATTGGAATGAATTTAATGGAATGTAATGATCACAATAAAACTCAATCAAGTAAAAACAAAACAACCGATAAACCCAAAACTAAATTGACACTGGTGCAATACGATATATGATAAAGACAACACATGTTTGAGAGAGGGATCCACTTCTACAGACAGACAGGCTATAGATCCAGGACTCGGACTGTAGAACGAGGACTGACAGTGGTGAAGTCCATCCACGTAGGCTAAACATTCATGGAATTGTCTTTGCAAAAATGGTTCACAAAATCTCCAACTCTTCAAATCACTGTTTACAATCCTGCCCATCCGCTGTCAGCACTCTGGCCGGTACTGTCCAGGGCTGTGTTTGTGGACCCTTTTAGAGGTAGTGCTCAGAAGTAAAGTTAGAAGACCGGAGAGGGAAACAGACCGCCTCCACTGTTGTTGCTGTTTACAGTGCAGCCCCAATGGCCCACATTCAAGACGAAGGCCGAGCCACCGTAAGAGGAGCCGCTCCGCTTGACTTTAGGGGGTGTTTTATGTGCTGCAGAAGTCAACTCTAACACCCTCAATGCATCGGGGCAGTAAATTGTGGAAGCAGAAGCATAAGAAAGGGGTCGAGACCTTTTTAGGGAAGTGTAGAAAACAGAAGTGACAAGAAAACAACGTTTTGAAGTGTTGTACCTCAATTTGTCTGGTTTTATTACTATTTTGTCTTTTTCCCCTTATTTTTCATAATGAGACTTTTTAAAATCTTATATGTTTTTGATCCCCTTAGTGGTAACTTATTATACCTCTAAGTCTTATAAGTATTGCAGTACGTTTCAGTACTTCAAATATTTCCATTTCGATTTGTTTCGATGTTACCTGTGCCTGTGCTTCTTTTGTTTTACCATACTAATTACACATGAAAACAGACAAATTAATTTGTTGTTTAAGTTATAGTGCTGTAAATTTCTTACAGTGAAATTGTAAATGAGTTTTTGTTGTTTTAGAACAGTACATAGAAAAGTCCCAATCAGTGAATATAAGCTAAAGCTTAGATATTTAATATATTTAACTATATTAACTTAATATAATTTTATATATATAATAAAGTTAATTAATTAATTATACAAGTTATTATACTTGTGGAATATGTATTTCCATTGAGTTAAACTTATTTTAACTGGGACTGTACTAAACCTTTCATGGGAGAATGGGGTTAAACTAATGTGGACAAATGTATGTCGTTTGCTCTTTAGACATTCATTTGACATCATGTAATAGCACCTCTACTTTGCTCCTCCATGTGTTGCGCACGACACACTCACACGTTCACACACACATACGCACACGCACTCCACTCCAGAATGATAAACATCTTTCTCATGGGATGAAAAGGCTGTTTCTGTATTTACAGTGACTCCGTCTTGTAGCTTAAACTGTAGCATTCCTCTCCTCGGCTGCTGTTGTTTAATGTAATCATAAAAGGCTTGTACAGACGCTGACATCGCAGATGGAGTCCAAACTGCATTTTTTTACAAACACACTGCTGTATGTTGTTCAGAACTTGAGTTACGGCTGTACGGTCCGCTAGAACACCGCAGAAACTAGGTTTTTCTATTTTGAAAATTGTCACAAACATAAGAATAAAGTAAAAGAAAGTGTGATATGCAATTGTGGTATCAATGATTGCAATAACTATGTTGAATCTGTGTCTCATATTTACATACATGTTTCTTCTCTTTCAGCCTGGGGTCATGGGCGTGTTGTCCACCTGGGATGATACAATGTGAGGGGGGGGGGCGAGGATCCTTGACACAAGCTGCGTCATTCGACCGCTGCCCTGTCAGCCTGGACCAGGCTACCACAGCTGCCCCATGACTCCCACACTCCGGCCCTAGACCAAGTAAGTCAGTCCAGAATTCCACATCTTAAAACATTTTTAAGTTGTGCCGTCATTTGGATAAAAATTATGAGACTTTGGACTCTCTGGTCCAGAGACTTGTACCTGATGTGGACTTGTGTGCATCTCTGAGTTATTGTAATTTAGTGGGGTTGATGGAGAGGGGTGAGTGCCCCAATCATTGTGCCCCAGGGCAGCTGTATCCACAGAAGTAGTTTATCACCACTGTGTATGGAGTAATTAATGCCATGTGAAGCGTCTTTGAGTGTGCATACCAATGCATTTTTTATTATGATTTTGTAGTAATCATTTGAAATAATCTAAATTGTAGTTTCCGAAAAGAATGACTTTCCAGATTAATGGTGGATCCTCTACTGATCTAATGTGCGTTGAGTGAATCAGGCTTTGTGCAGTGACTGGCTGTGTGCACGAGGCCCGCGCTGCTGGGACTGTATACATTAGCGCTCGTGTCCTATATTCAGGAGGGTGGGCCTTAGCAACAGTGACTGAGCAACTTCACAAGGGACGTACCATGTCAGACACTTTGGAGGGGTGTCATTGAGAAAGCCTGTGTGACAGTTGGAAATGGTGGTCAAAATCAATAATATATTTATAAGGAAATACAGTGAGAAATATATTGCTTTTAACAAGGGGAGGGAAGTATTTCTGGTATACATTGGTTAATGCATTCTTTTTTAATTGCGGATTTGTTTTGGTTTTTTGTGAACGGCCACATCAAAGTAACAGATAACAAACATTCACTCTCGTAGCCATGCTTACCTTGATTGTGGGCTTCCATGACTCATTAACCATTATCTGTGTTGACAATAAACATGCTTCCTATAGCTTAAAAACTTGGAGTCAAAGTAATAAGTCCTTAAACACACAGCTGCCCAACACTACACTAATGATAATACATACATTGACCGCATCGCTGTTTAGGCCATAGGGTTTAAAGAACTAGTAAAAATTAGGAGCGTATGGTCCGGCAATTATGGTAATTATTATTCTAGAGGATTTGTTTTGTTGGCGAGTGGATGTTTTCGAGCAGCTGGATCTGCTCCGTACTAAGCAAAAAATTCTTATGTACCAAAGGGGGGGCCTCCAGAATTTTTTTTGAGAATTACTGAGTTAATGTTTGCCTCCTAAGAGTTCATGGTGTAATTTACCTTTAGCTTTGTCCATAACACGTCAACAGTGCGCTAAAACACCTCATCATTTCATCATGTTGTATCCAGTTAAAACGGTCTCTCATCGGTTTTGTTTTGTTCCGTTCCATTCACTGTTGGTTAAGTGTAATATTACAACAAGAAAACCAGTGTGGCCTATATGTGGATAACATTTACTTTATTTAAAAATTGACCTGGGGTTTTTTACTTTTTTTTATACTGCTCCAGCAAGTATTGTACTTGTATCAACACCCTATAGATATGATCAAAGCTAATGTGACATAGATGCAGACTGGCATTTGCATGTTTGTCTTTGTAAAGGCCAGGCCTTGGTAATGTTCTCAAAGTCTGTAGTGTGAATTATAAAAGCCCCTTCTGAGAGATAGACGCTCTCCAGTGCCAGCGTCGTACCACAAAATAAACCTTGGATGCTACCTCCAGCGCACAGCCATAATTCCGTTTTATGAATAGACAACCCAGGCTTCTCCGGCGTTTATTGAACACTGCAGCGGTAGAGTGGCTGAGGAAGCAGCTCACTCCTGGTTTTATTGAGTGCTAATGTGCTACAGCGCCGCGGCAGATGACTTGGGTTTTTTATGCTCCGGCTGAAGGAGGAGGGAGAGGGGTGATTTGAGGTGAAACCTACACACTGGCAGTCAGGAAGGATTAGCGTCCTGTGAGCAGTGCCCCGTTCTTACAATGGAGTCTTGTTTTTGGATTTTAAGCGTTGAGTGAGGCCAGGCCTATAGCTCTGCATGGGAACAGGTTTTAGTTGCTTCTATGCTAACGCCAACGTACACCTGAAGTAGTCTCATGGAGTGATCAGACAAGGTCATGAAGAGGTTCATAGACCTCAAGAAATTCTCATTTATCCTCACACTTTCCTAAGATATCATACGTGCTTGTTGAAGGTCTGATAATGATAATGATAATGATGATGATAATAATAATAATTAGTCACCCAGCCAACTTCAGCTTCAATCATTGTAGTCATGTTGAACCTTGTTGTAAAGCTCAAAACCTCTGGAATCCAGCCAATCACTTCATCTGTATACTGGTATTTGATTTTGTCACCAAATCTTTTATATGGAACTAATGATAGGAATCAGACTCATGCAAATTGGGATCTTTGTACGACAAAGCCTCCTGGCTGGTTTATTCACAAAATGGTCGTTAATTTTCAGGCAGAACAAAAGACACAGATACATTATATATGGAAATCTACGTCATCATAGAAAAGGCCAAACCTTCGGCACAAATAGCCTAAACAACGAAAGTCTCTGTGGTCCTTGAGACCTCCACAAGGCCAGGTTATTAATACTATTTTGTCTTGCATTTGTCCACCTGTGCAGTACATAGGTCACTGTTTACCACACCTGTACACCTGTACAGCTATTATCTTATACTATTTTAAAACACTAATATGATTATTTTGCAAAGCTATGTATAATTTCTGTTAAATTTGCATCTTAGTGTAACATATAGCTAATAAATCTCACTATCGGACTCCATCTCGTCCTCTTCTTCTAGACAGTAGTTTACACTCATCATTAGCGGCATTGTGTTAATATACTGTTTGGAAATTGCAGCTGCAATCAAACGCTCAATCAGATGTCTAAGGCATGGAACTACACAACATCCTCCCAGGATTAAAACTGTGAACACAATTAGGCAAGTGCTTAAAATTGACATTATTATGGGGGTCAAGGATCCGAATAGACTATTGAACCAGGCTATCCAAGTGCTATCTTGTGTTCCTGAGTTCTTTGTGACTTCCTCGGACAAGAGTCTAAGGTTATTTATGGCTCTGGAGATGCTACCGTCTGGCGCAGTATTATTGGGAATAAACGTACAGCATTTGTCTTGGAAAAAATGGCACACTCCCGAGCTACTTGCTAGAATCATGTCTAGGGCTAATCTATTTTGCCAGGCCATCAATGAGGTTGGTGCCAATTGCTCTGAAATGCTCTCAAGTGCGCCAATTGTATAGTTGATGAATCTCTGTTGGTTGTAATATATGTAATTGATCCAGGCTACATTCATGTTGGAGGTGGGCCAGCTAAACAAGATTGAGGCTAGTCCCCTAGTTATTTCGTTTTGAGCCTTGAATTCATCTGGCACACCTACAGGAACCCCGGCCCAATTTAACCATACTCCCTTTTTCTATATGCAGTTTTAAACTGTGATTACTGATATATAACAGATGTTATTGCTTCAACTTTTGTCACTCATTAAACTTGAAATTGGCCAATTTCAGGACTTTTGCAACAAAGGTCTCTGCACTCGTTTTTCCTCCCTTTTTATTTATTTTTTATTTTTATACCATGGATTCTCTCAAAGGGACTTTAACCCTGAAGCTTCTTCTCAAAGGGACTGTAACCCCGAGACTTCTCTCAAAGGGACTTTAACCCTGAGACTTTCTCAAAGGGACTTTAACCCCGAGGCTTTCTCAAAGGGACTTTAACCCCGAGACTTTCTCAAAGGGACTTTAACCCCGTCAGGCTTTCTCAAAGGGACTTTAACCCCGAGACTTCTCAAAGGGACTTTAACCCCGTGACTTTCTCAAAGGGACTTTAACCCCGTCAGGTAGCGAACCTGTTTTTAATCTAATCTGATCTATAGATACATGACATTTGGCAGACCTTAAAACAGACCATAATTTAGTTCACTCAATTAGCAGACTTTGAATAAACAGGTGTCCGCTCTTACCTTTTGTCGAACAGGGCCCAGGTACCGTCAAAAGTCCACCAAATATCAGCCTTTCCACGTCCAACCAGGTCTCCAGATCATGAACCAGCGCTCACTAGTACCGGGAACTAGCTTCCATCGGCAGAGACCAATCACCCGTCAGAAATCCCTGGAATATGGACATGGAAAAACAAATTTAAACGCTTTGTCAGTCCAAAAAAGAGGACACAAAAAAATATAGTGAGAGAGCAAAAAAGCCCCGGAATCGTCACCTCTCCAGCTTGGTAGATAGTACCCAAATCCAGATGCTCTCAGCTCTCTCACGCTGAAAAAAAACTTTCTCACAACAGCCGAGGCAGAGTCGCATTCAGCGCCGCATTCTCCACCACCTGATAGGAATCAGACTCATGCAAATTGGGATCTTTGTACGACAAAGCCTCCTGGCTGGTTTATTCACAAAATGGTCGTTAATTTTCAGGCAGAACAAAAGACACAGATACATTATATATGGAAATCTACGTCATCATAGAAAAGGCCAAACCTTCGGCACAAATAGCCTAAACAACGAAAGTCTCTGTGGTCCTTGAGACCTCCACAAGGCCAGGTTATTAATACTATTTTGTCTTGCATTTGTCCACCTGTGCAGTACATAGGTCACTGTTTACCACACTAATGTAGCTAAGGTGTGAATTAATATGGACATTTTAAATCTCAGAACATTTTATTGGCCCCTGGACAAGCCTGGTTAACTAAAGTGGCCCTCTTACTTAAAAGTTTGGACAGTTGTTATAGATGGAGTATAAACAATAAAGTACACCTTGACCTGTGTTTCTTTCATTTAGCTGTACTTGTAATGCATGTATTCACTTAAAAGTTGGAGAGATTCTAAATGCTGGTTTTTGTCATTCAGGCCTGTCAACGCTGAACATGAGTGCAGTCGGGGAAAGCCCCCTGGACCCGGCCACGCCAGAGTCACGCAAGCGGAAGGGCTCGCCATGTGACACGTCAGGCCAAAGGTAACAACCACAGATACAACTATTTTCAACCAGTCCCTCCTTCACTCACGCACTTTAACTACATCACAAAATTTGCTTCTCACGCTCTTGAAAAAAAAGAGTAAAGCACCTTCATCATTGTGGAGTGATTCTGCTACCTGCACTTTGAGGAATAATTAAATAATTAACCCTAACACAAGTTATTAATTGGTGATAAGCCAGTTAAGTTTGACAAATACATGGATGTGTCATGAAGGGGTATTATCAGCATATATTCTGCATTTTAAGGTTAGAACGAATCAGTTTGGTTGAGTTTTAGTGACTGGTTTTCATCCTCTTTTCCCATATATATTATATTTAGAGGAATTATATATCTCTCTATATATATTACTTATGGGTTTATTTGTTGTGCACTCAACAAAAAAAAACCAGAAAGAAACGGGCCCCAAAATGCAGTTATCAATTAAGTGCTTTATCTAACGGTAAAAAAACAAAACAAATCTAACATTCCTGTGGAACATTATGACTGAGCAGAACTCCTACTTTCAGGATAAATGTAATCAAGCAAGCGACCCCCTCCCTGTCTAATAATGAACCAAAAACCAAAAAGTAATTACATTTAAAATATCATGTTTTTCTTTCAGACTGAATGCTTGGCATCACACAAGCCACAAACGAGAGTCATATGAATAACAACAGATATTTAATTATTATCCCAGTGATAATAAGAACCAATCGCTAGCTGTGCCCCTTCAATGCTCGTCTGTGAACAGTTTAACAGAAGCGAGTTTAGATGAACCCAAACATGAGCTCTGCTGTGGCTTCCATGCAGGAAGAACGCAAGAAAGATCTACAAGGAGGAGGTTGCCTGTACCTGGATCAGGGAGTGGTACTTAAACTTTTAAAAGACAGACGTGGATGAACACAATGAAACACCGAAACAACATTTGGAGAGGTCCGAGCAATCTGGTTATTTTAAAGCGTTGAAATCATCTGTGAACATTCCAATGACTATCAGGTTAAATAATGTCAAATGCTGTAGGTATAACTTCAGTGTTTCTCATTAAACCATTAAGGCCTGCATCGCCTGGTAAAACAGACCTGCAAAACCTGAGGCCGACTTCAGAACCACCCTCCAAAACCTGAAGTTTTCCTGAAATTCAACGTCTACTAAATAATTGGTATCTCGGCCTCTGTAGCAGATAGAAACATAATTTCAAAAGAATTTGAGAGCTGACACTTGTGGCTTTCAATAAGAATGCAGTGTATTATTATAAAACTTCAGTAGAAGAATATACAACTTCCACACAGGAAAGGTTATTACAAAACACGACTGTTTTGGTTTGTTCTGTTTGACTTGGTCACAACATTTTATTTTTTGCCCAAAAACATGCATTATCAATGCAGGCAAAAATTTAGGTAGCTGAGCTTTATTTTTCAGTGAGTCTTGGCTGCGCTTCGTCAGGAGACTTCAGGGAGACGAGGGAGAGAGATGGGGGACAGACAAGGGATGGAGCTTGTTGCACGTGCGGGTCTTGCCCGTCTCCCCCGTCTCCCCTCGTTCCTGATCGCGCGTCTATGGTCCGCGCTCGGTACATGACCCCTGTGGCTGCGCGTTCGCTGAGCTGTTTAAGCAGCCACTGTTGCTCCCGGGGTCAGAGCGGAGGATGTTAATCCCGTTCGAGTACGTAACGCAAACAACTGCCCACGGTCACGCATTTCACCTAAAATGAAATTTTCAGCGAGAAAAAGGAATTCGCGGATCCGTAGATCCACAGATAATTCTCATCACAGGTATATCTTGATACATTTAATTGGTTCAGAGAATTGATCAATGAAGAGAATAGGTCAAAAAAAGAAAAAGACGTGTCCGCTTTCCCGGCCTTAAAGGTAGAAGTGCGCAACAGCGCTCCCGGCTTGAAAGGGAGTAACGTGGAAATGCGTTCCTGGCCTCAATGGGTTAAAGAAAGCCAGGGTTTCCTCTGTGATGGCAATCTGCCTGTGACTCGGGGACGCCAACTCACTCCCCCCCTGCTGCTCTATCCAGCTAACCTGCAGGAAGGAGCCAGTCCTTCCCGCACCGCCAGACAATGATGCAAATCACTGTCTCACCCCTGTCCCTTTCGCATCTTGCATCTGTATGCCTGCCTCTCTACATCCTGCATGACCATTGTCTGTCTGTTTGCACCTCCATGCCACTGTCTGATTGCCTCACCACGGGCATGGCGCCTACGCTCCCTATGCGCCTCCTGTACTGGTGGCCCCCTCCCATCTGTTGTGGGCGTGACTGTCTTTATGTGTTGTCTATGTAAACAGGAAGCTGAGCTCTGCGCGCCAGAGCTGATGCATGCTGCCTTTGTGTGTGAGCTCTCCGCACGTGTGTACAATAAACTTACGCTCCTGATTAAGACAAATACTTTTGAGCTTTCTCCTTGCTTTGGGGTATGTAATTCTACAACACCTCCAGAGGGGGGGGGTGGGGGGGGATCAGTCCCCCCCTAGCCATGGCCCAAGGGGGGGATATCCCCCCTCAATTTTCTTACACATGCATGTATACAATTCTCACATCATGAAGTGCAAAAACATTATTTTCATTGGGATATATCTGATCTGGCTCGCTGTCTAATCTATAATCTAAAACATGATAGTAAAAAAATTACATACAAACACCAAATCACAAACTTCCGTACAGGAAAAATGTGTTATTCTTTATTCTGAATCGGAGTCTCCTCAGCTGAATAGTGATTCTCTTTTCGCGGTCTTGCAGATTTATTTGTAGCATGATTTTCACTGTATATGAACTTGCAATGTTCATCCTGATTGGCTAAGGAAGAACCAGCGTAATGTGTTCTGCGTCCTGATTGGCTAAGGGGTAATCTCTGTGCAGTGTTTCCTGTACATCACAGCATTCACACTGACAAATGAAAATCCATGTCTGATTGCTGGCAGTGTGACTGTAAGTGCTGTATGCTAATTTTCTCCTTGACAAAACCATGGACTAAACCCACAACATGGTTAGTGCTAAAAAGTTGAACTTCTGGACATGTTGCAACGACGACAGCAAAGAGAAGCACGGTGCGGAACCCAGGCCATTGACGAGGGATTTTCATGCAGCACTAAGCCCATTTCTTTCAAAAAAATTTACAATTTCGATTTCAAGATTTCAAAAGGCTATAACTTTAAAGTAGTTTGAGATGAAGGCATATTGTAAATGAGAAATATCTTCAGTATGAACAAAACTTTGGGATGGATGTTGATTCGTCATCTAATTTGCATACTGTGACGTCATCAAGGTGGTGGCCATTTTGGAAAATGTTTATTGTATAAAGATTTCAAAAAGCTGTAGTTTGAGAGTGTATTTTGAGCTCTGGGAATACTGTCAACAGTCAATGTGAAATATCTTTAGTATGAAAACACAATGTGGGATAGGAATGAATTCACTGATCCAATTTATATAGAATATTTTAGCACTGGTCAGCAGCCATATGGAATTGTATTATGTATTAGACCTTCAATGATCAAGATGGCACTGCTTATAGTTTACCAGTCATGAAATCTGCAGTTTGGTTTCAATATTACCCTTTCAAAAGACCTGGTGGCATACTGTTTGTCTCAGTGGAAATGAGGCTCCAGAATTCATCGTTTAGAAACAGAGCGATTAAATTAATGGGCTCAGAACTTGTCAGATTGTCTCAACAATAAACAACACTTCTGATCCACTTTTATGGATTTTCTTCCTCTCTGCCTTCATCATCATCATCGCCGTCATCACGTCTGCCGCGTTCCCCGCGGTTGTTTATCCCCGCTGCATTCACCCACATGCCCGGTGTTATGACCCCCCTGTCCCCTTCACCACGTCCCCTGCCTGGCGTTCGCAGAATGTTTCCACTGCGGCCACACACCACGGTAAAGAGGCCGGACATTAAAAGCGGGTGGCCGCTTTATGTTAAAACGTGCATTGTGGCGGCTCATCCCCGCGTCTTCTCTTTCCAATGTTACCGTGAGTAACAGCATAAAGTGGCTATCCGCTTTTAATGTGCGGACCGCTTTACCGCTGACTCCGAAAAGCCGGGCCTCTTTACCACGGGGCCACACGGAGGACGTAAACTGTGGCTGACTGTGGACTGTTATGGCGCAGACTCCTGTCACTAATAATGTCTGTGTCTGCTTCACTGGTCTTCCTCCTCTGAATCTTAGTGAGCCAGTACCAACTACTTCTCTGATCTCTGGAGACCTCTGGCTCTGCTCTGGCTCCGCTCAGAACTACGGCTCCTGCTTCGCGTCGCTGCGCCACAGGTGTTTTACAAACTCATTTTACTCGAATACTTTGAATATAACCATACCCACAAAGGCCGCTCATATTAAAAGCACACATGTCCACTAACTCCTCGTGAAAAATATTAACAAAAATTACTGCAAACCCCCCCCCCCCCCCCTTGCGGTCCCCCCCTCAAACAAATTCCTGGCGGAAACACTGAAAGCCCACACATTCTGCAGGTGGTAATAACATCTTTGTAGCATTTTTAGATGTGTACTTATTATATTTATAATTCTTTGTATCAGATTTGGAGATATAAATATTTTTAATGCATTCAGAGGACTATCGCTGCAATAGTCCAGATACAAAACCCTGTGTATTTATTGTTCCTTGAGTAAAAATATCCTGATTTTGCAATAATGTGTTGTTTACAACCATGTAAACCTGTTTGAAGTAAATGTCCGTTTGACCTGTTGGTTGACAGCGAGCTGCGTGGTCCTCTGCCCAGTCCGGCCTCTGACCTACTTAGACCACGTGGCCCCTGGTCTTTATGGTGTGTTTACCGAAGTTCAAAGTTCACTTTGAACAACATATTTTATTGGAATGAATTCATGTTAAAATATAATTTATAAAATAAAACAGTTTTCTGTCTGTGATGCCTTGCATCTGGACCCAGGACCATGAACATCTCAGTGGATGTGTCTGTCAGGATATGTTAAACTCATTTTTCACATACACCTGCTGTCCGTGACTGCACAGACTCTGTACACTCTTCCCAGATCCTACACATTTGCCAATGTGTAGGATCTCTTTCCCCCTTGGACGCCTATTAGGAACTACACATACATGCATTACTAGGGCTACCCATAGAGCATAACTGTATAAAAGAAAACGAATGTCCACATGTGATTATAAATCATTTCACACTCTGAAATGTATTGAAACATAGACATATTTGGTATCTCTGTAAACCTTCGAGTTTGAACTATCCATTTATGTATGCTTAAATGTAATTAAACTAAATTACAGGTTTGTAGCGGCTCATTGAACATTTTATTTTACCTGGTCAGGTGCAAATTCGAAAATAAAAAATTAACTCTGCTTCTGATATATACATATTCTGAACACTATATTCATAAAAAAATGTAAAGATATATTTGTCAAAGTATTGAGACAGACTTCATATTACCAGATACAGTGTGAGCAAGTGTATACCTGTTTCTACCTGTTATACACCTGCGTGTACCTGACTCGTTTTTTACATTTAGCTTATTCAACTCATTTACATTTTCAACTCATAAAGGAACTTTGAAGTGATTGTCTTTTTGGAATATAATAACAATATAATACCAACAATATAATAACAACTGAAAAGTCTGAAAAGCCAGATTAATCTGAACCTGGTGTGACTCAGTCCTCAGTTTTTTGTGACTTAAGGTGCATCCACCTAAAAACATCCACACTAGGTAAAAATCCTCCAGCTCTGGTAGTCCTGACCAAGACGGGCATCCACATCTGGGGATGGGTTCCCAGGTGCTGTAACTACGGCGACCACTGCTCCTGACGTAAGCCTCAGGGGCATCAGAATGGGTCAAATGCAGAGAATGAATTGCCCTACGGGGATAAATAAAGTGCACCTTTACCTTTACCGTCTGATCGCCAGGGGCCATACACTTTGATTCTTTTTACCTTTGTACCGTTGTATGATCCAGGGGGAGGGTGGATTGGGGATTTGGGAGGACTGGATAGAAGGCAGTCTACCCAATACTTGTGGAGAACCCGAAGGTTCTTGATATTAGCATGGATGGATAAAAAAACAACTCTAGATCTGTTCAGTAGAAATCAGACAATGTTAAAAAAAATATATATATTTTTACTTTCTCACCTCTTTATGGTCAGATATTTATATTACTGAACCAATAGTTCAATGGCACAATGCTGAGAATTATTGGTTTTCTTTTTTTTAAATACATATATTTGTATGTCTTACTACTTTAAGCACAATAAGCTTGTTTTTCTTCATATAGCTGCATAAGGCATAATCTTGGTCGGCATTCTTTGGTTGACTGCAGCCTGAGCTTTCCCAGAGTGGATCGAAAGGCGCAGGTCTTGTGATGTTTACTTGCTTTAAAGGCGGTACAGACAATAGGGGTTTACATGTAGTCACTGATTTCAACAATGTGTCTCAAAAGAGCTATTCGAATGTCGTTGATTTGTTAAAGCTTGACTACAGAAACTTTGAAACCACAAAAAATAAACAGCTGTTAATTTAATTGTACCACTAGAATGTGACCATAAACTATTTATTTAATTCACCAGTTTTCAATAAATTCACACGTTTCTTCGTCATCAAGTTACACCTCTCTAGTGGCGCTATTCAATATATTTTTTATAGCCCTAAATCTCAACAGCAGTCATCCGTTGTCCGGACCACAGCAAAGATCAGAAAATCATTGAATCAGGGATCAGGGAACACAGGGAATGCAAAATCACAAACACAGATGAGCCATTAGTTCAAAGGGAGTGGTTTGAACTAGGGATGTAAAAAACTATGAATTTTCATGACCGACCACCGAGCCTCATTAACCGGTTGAAACCGGTTAACCGCGTAGTTTAAAATAGTCCACGTTCTTTGAAATAACAGCCATTTCGAGCCAAATACTTTTCATAAGTGCAGCTCTGCGTTCTACTGGATCAGAGTTGAGACAGCGGCGCCCAAACCCGCAACAGCTCCGGCACCTTTGCGCACAGAGAACTGCTTTTTTAATCTTCCCATTCTGCTGTGCTGCGGGTTAATACCAAAACTTTCTAGCAGCAAACGACGGCTCGTTCACATGGTCAGAGCAGCGAGTGACGAGCCGCGTCTCACAGGTCTTCACAAAAGTTTAAATACAAGTGATAATAAACACAAACATGTTCCATGTGGTTTGACTGGAGCCGCGTATTTGCGCGAATCCTTTGGGCTCCGTGACACAGAGGAGCGCGAGAGACCGATATGTGTGTGTGTGTATGTGTGTGTGTATGTGTGTGTGTATGTATGTGTGCGTGTATGTATATGTGTGTGTGTAAATGTAAATGTAAGCTCCAATGTAGTTCTGACCCGCGCCAGTGTGCAACTTTGACGGTAACAGAGGGGAGAGATGATGCGTGTGGATGTTACGTATGGAGAGGGGGAAAGTGTGTGTGTGTGTGTGTGTGTGCGCGTGCACGCATGCGTGCACCGACAACTTTGACCGGTTAACGCTGTGACGGTCAACCACCGGTTAAACGGTCGCCGATTTACATCCCTAGTTTGAACAAAGTCTGTACTTTTTTAATAAATGCCCTTAAATATCCGGGATCATCACTGTTCATAGGCCGTTCTGAATCAGCAAGGAATGATTAAAAAAACCAAAATAATGCAAAACCGCAGGGAATTCCATATTGAGAGAGGGATCCGCTCCCACATAGATCCAGGACTCACACTATAGAATCAGGACTGAGGCTGTAGAACCAGGACTGGGGTTGTAGAACCATAACTATTGTCAAATCCAAACATACTATGCTCTCATAAAACTGTATTATTTATGGCCCGTTTGTGACGACGTGTTTGGGTTTTTTGTCTCTCAGTGTGGAGAAGCGGAGGCGAGAGCTCGAGTGCCACTACATCGAGGAGCTGGCGGAGCTGCTGTCGTCAAACATGAGCGACATCTCCAGCGTGAAACCGGACAAGTGCCACCTCCTTAAGAGCACCGTGGACCAAATCCAGCAGATCAAGAGGCGCGAACAGGGTCAGATCACGCTTCTCTCCTTCTCCAGGCCAACCATAGTAACTTATCCTCATTATCGTGCAGAAGGTTCCCACATTGTTGCCAAATCATGAGACTTCTGAGTTATTGCACACTTAATACATCATTTCGCATCAGACAGAATACATAAACTCTGACATAATTCCTTCTCCTAGGTGATTGCTAGGAGTAGGAATTGGCAAAAATGTGACAATTCAACAGTATTGCAATATTTGGACCGCAATTCAATATTATTGCGATTCTTAACATATTACGATACAGCAAGTATTTACAATTCAATTCTGTGATATATTGCAATTCATGTCCCTTATTTTTTCTCTCTTTGGTTCATTCATTTTTAAGAATGTTGGGGCTTTGCATTGTATGGGATTTCATATCCATCGCTCCACAACCTTCAAAATAATTCTTGTCATTTTTTTTAAACGTAATCAGAAATATTACACATTTAAAATCAAAATCAAATTATTTTCTTTCTGAATATTATTCAAAGGCATTACAAAAATGTAGGATATTAAAACTGCTCAACTCAAAAGTCACATTATACAGAAGTGTTTCCACACCATTAGCGATTTGTGAGAGTTCTGATTAAATGCACCAAATTCTCTTTAGTTACAAAACTTCAAGTCTTTACACACAGTGGTTTCCAAAGTTTGTAAGTGCTTTCTAAAAGAGAACTCTCAGGAAGATGCATCAGCCGCAAAACACGTGTAAAACAAATGTCTTATTTACCTGTGTTTGTTCACAGAGAAAGCAGCTCTCATGTCTCCAGACGACGATGTGCAGAAGAGCGACATCTCGTCCAGTAGTCAGGGGCTGATGGAGAGGGAGGCGCTGGGGCCAATGCTGCTAGAGGCGAGTGGAACACAACATCTTTCTATTTTACATATTATTTTTGTTACCGTGTTTTTTAAGTCTGTTATATTATAAGTACCTGGATCAGGGGGTTATGTTTTCACCTGGGTATTGGGGGGGATCTAATACATTTAATTTTTCTATTGTATTTCTATTTCTATTATTTATTTCGATGCGGAATTGGAACGAACTGAGTAGGGCTGGGACAACGCATCGGCGTAATCGATGACGTTGACGCAAAAAATACGCTGATACAAAATATGCACGTCTATTCGTCATACTCAAAACAAAGATGGCAGCGAGTAGTAGCAGTAGTATGCGAGTGCCGTCTACTGCTACGGTTCAGACCGCCACTGGAACGCAGTTTCCATTTACAGTAGACGCACATTCTCTAAATTACAGAGGCTGGTAGGGGTGTTCTGACCAGAAGTCCTGGGCTAACAGAGTTAAACTAGCTTTTTGTGTAAAGTTCTTCTCCAAAAGGCAGCTCTGCAGCGTCTCTTTCTCCAGAGACTTTATATGTGTATGCAGTATGTGTTCACGGAGGTGCATCAGTTTATTTTATTATTAGACAGTACTTCCGCATCGGCGAACATGCTAGCTGCGCTACATCCTAGCTGCGCTACATGCTAGTTTGCGCACAAGCACACACAGTATTCTTAAGGGGAAAGGAAAGTGTCGAAGTCTAAGTTATTTGTGAATGAAGATGATTTTTTCAGTAAGCTATGTTCAACATAATTGTTGAATTCTAAATGTTTATTTTGTATTATTTTTTGCTAGAAAAGCACTCTCTCTTTAGCTTAAAGCCCTCAAGATTACATTGGTTTTATTTTTTATTTTATTGAATGCTAAACATCAAGTGTAATTTTCATCTGAAAGAAAAATGAGATACATTTTTTTTAGTAAGCTAGATGTGTTTTCAAGGCTTCAAGGTTTTATGCTACCTCTGACTAAGAATGTCTTATTTTTTTTATTTTAAAAGCAATAAATATATTTTGTTAAGGTATTCATGTTTTTTCATTCAGAAATGTAAATCAACATGTATACATTGATATTAGTCAATTAATGGGGAGATAATCGAGTCGAACTGAAAAAAATAATCGTTAAATTAATCGATGCATCAAAAAAATAATCGCTAGATTAATCGTTTTAAAAATAATCGTTTATCGCAGCCCTAAAACAGAGACTTCTAAGCACTTCTCGGGCGGCACAGAGGCTGGGGGATTGGATTCTCGCCTCTCAGCATGAAGGTCCTGGGTTCAAATCCTGGTCGGACCAGGACCTTTCTGAGTGGAGTTTGCATGTTCTCCCCATGTCTGCGTAGGTTTTTGTCCAAATAATTGGTCAATTTCTTTGCTAATATTTGTCAAGAAACATGACAATATTGCCAAACATTGCCAATCCAGTATGTGCATGTCACCCATCTTGATCTCTTCACCTTTAACCTCTTTCATGTTTCGATCTATTCGCAGGCCCTAGACGGGTTTTTCTTTGTTGTCAACCGCGAAGGCCGCATTGTGTTTGTCTCTGAGAACGTGACAAGTTACCTCGGCTACACGCAGGAAGAGCTGATGACCTCCAGCGTGTACAGCATCCTCCACCTGGGAGACCACAACCAATTTGTGCGCAACCTGCTACCCAAAAGTCTTGGTGAGTGAGAGTTTCTGTTGTCACAGCAGAATAAAAAAATGTCCCAAGACCAGAGCGATTAGAGCCGTGTTCAAATACTGCTTTATAACAGTCTTAACACAAAAGAAAGCTAATAGAAAAACTGCTGTAACAATAATAAACTGCTATGTATGAGATTAAGAGAGATCCTTTATTTTTTTTACCAGTTACAGAACAGTAGGAATGAACAAGTCACAGGATAAGATACTAATGGTGCATTCAGACCGCAAACGCTCAAACGCTGAAGCCCCGCTCATTAGACGCGCATTCTATAGTTTTTAGACGCAGGGGTCTTCACACCAGACTGCATGCCCAGCACCGAAAGTGAAGGAAGTAGCGGCAGGCTATGATGCTAACAGAGTTTAGCTAGCGGCTTCTTGTGTACAGATCTTCACCAATATGCAGCTTTGCAGCGTGTCTTTGTTCAGAGACCTTCCACGGACTTTATATAACAGTAGTATGTGTTCACGGAGGTGCGCCATACGTTTTTTGTATTATTAAACGGTATTTCCGCATCGGCGAACACACTCAAAGCAGTTGCATTAGGTCACGGGAGCATGACCACGCATATATTCTCAAGCACACAGTCCCCCATTGTCAACCCTGGTTTGAGTTCTGGTGAAGCCTGGTGTGGGTCCTGTTTTGGCTGTTTACGAGTATTTTCAGTCTGCTCGCTCAGTCCGCCAATGTCCCTGTGACCACTTTGCTGCTCTCTGATTGGTCGCTGCACAAACGTCCCAAGGAAAGGATGAGCAGAATCCATCTCCTGTGGGCGTCCCTTTTCCGCTCCTGCTCCTCCCTTTTGACTTTCCTGCCAAGTCTGTGCGTCTCTACTGAGCGGTCCGTGTGTGGCAAGAAGTGCGTTTTGACGCTCGAACGCGCGTCACCATTGACTTTGCATTGAAAGCAGACGCAACGCATGATCCGGTCTGAACGCGGCATAAGCTCTACAACAACAACAAAATCTCTAGCTTTAGCAAAATCTCTAGCTTTCGCAGCCACTATGGCCGCTCAGAGGAGTAATCGAAGCAACTGGCTCCTATCACTGCGCTGCCGAACGAAATGTTTCAAGAGATCCTTTGTTCCTTCAGCTGTCAGACTGTACAACAAACCTGGATGAGTTTTCTGCTGCTGGACACCTGAATTTCTCCTACACGGGATCAGTAAAGTTATCTATCTATCTAGCATAATAAGGAAGCAGTCTATAATCTATAATAATAAGTAAGAATTAAATACAACATTTCTGACTTTAGCATAATAAAGAAGCAAGTATAAATCCTGTATGAACAAAGCATGGTAATTAACACAATCTCTGAACTAACGTTTGCTTGCCAAAGCTGTTAGCTGCCAATTTTAGGATGTCTGGTAAAGTGCTATAAATCCACTGTGTTTTGGCAATAAACATTTATCCCCATCACAAAACTTGATGGGGTAACAATAGGTCCATCAACATTTGAATGTCTGTTCTCTTGCATGTATGTGATAGAAATCCAGTTTTAGTGTTTTACTGCAGGCTTCTAAATGACGTCTCATCTCACTGGTTGCCATCGTTATGGAAGGCACAGGAGGACCATCTGGACCTTTTTGAAATTATTTTTTAGTATGCACCAACACAGCAGTACTGCCGCTAGCCTCCAGGAGTGCTCTAACACATACATCCAAACATATAGAGCAAAGCACGTGAAAAAAGTAGCGACAAGAACTGTATGCATAAACAAGTTTATCCTCACATCAACTCTCATTTTAGTGGAATAAATTGCAAAGAGAAATGAATGTGTATATGAATTATTAATACATGGATGTAGATAACATAAATACCTATTGCTCCGTTGTTTACTAAAACAGTTTTATATACAATGTTTCTGAAGCGAGAGAAGGGATTTACTTTAGTAAGACATGTTTTGAGGCTGAACTGCTCTCAGACAGTGGAGGCGTGGGTGTATCTTTGTGCAGAGTGATAGAAAAGCGAAACAATGACTTTGTGCTGCAGAATAGATTGTTTGCTCCAGTCTTTGGTGAAGGCACTGTATCCAGAGGGAGGGGCAAAGACGGTTTGTATGGGAACAAAAGGAAACAGTGTTGTATGAAAAGTTTGGGGCTATTGTACTTTCACCAACAAAAGTCTGTTGTGTTTGGATGCATGTTTCGGCTCTGTTCTTATCTGTGCCGTGTGTTTTTAGTCAATGGTGTGCCATGGCCGCAAGAGCAAGGCCGGCGGAGCAGCCATACGTTTAACTGTCGCATGTTGAAGAGGCCTCCAGACGAAGTGGACACAGAGAACCAGGAGGCGAGACAGCAGTACGAGTTCATGCAGTGCTTCACCGTGTCCCAGCCCCGACCTCTGCAGGAGGAAGGAGACGGTACACTGACACTAAGAACCCTATGTTTACATTGGTGCTTTAGTTTAGGATGTTCGTCATTCATGCTGCGATCGTGTCATGTGCAGATCAGCTGTAGTAGAGACCTTGTACACTGTGTTCAGACTCTGCTTTTGTGTATTTTTCTAATGGTTTTACCGTCTCCTGTTGTGCCCAGACCTTCAGAGCTGCCTGATCTGCATAGCGTGTAGAGTTCCTCGGCCACAGCCCATCACAGAGTCCTTCATCACCAAACAGGACCCCACAGGTACTGGTCTCATTGTGATAAGCCAGAGGAAAATGGAATTGTATATTTAGCCTTATGGGTTCCCACACAGTTCCAATTGTATAAATAATATTGCTTTGACCCTAGGGAAGATCATCTCCATAGAAACTAGTTCTTTGAGAGCAACCGGACGACCAGGCTGGGAGGACTTGGTCAGGAAGTGCATTTATGCTTTCTTTCAGCCGCAGGGCAAAGAGTCCTCGCACGCAAAGAAGCTGCTGCATGAGGGTAAGCCTCCTTTTCACCAAACGATCACACTTTACTCCTCTTTCACATCCAATTCTATATCTATAATTATTGTCAGTTCACTCATGATCTATCTCTAGGTCAAAACCTTTCAATGTGGTTACACTCTGAAATACATATAATAGACTATGTACATGTATATCTAATATTAATATATATATGTAAATAGAATTTACAGACACCATTATTACTGCATCACTATTCGAGTGTGTTCTTGTATCACAATCCCACATTACACTTCATCAATAATCCACTGACACAGCCAGAGCAAAGTCCCCACTGGTGTCTTGTTTTGATGTGTTGTGTACATACTGGTGCTCCACAGTGATGACGCATGGCACAGCTGTGAGTCCGCTCTACCATTTCACTCTGAGCGACGGCACCCCGCTCAGCGCTCAGACTCGCTGCAAGTTTTGCTGCCCCCCAAACCCAGACGTTCAGCCCTTCATCATGGGCGTTCACACTATTGACAGGTAAGAGACCCACATTCTCCTCATTTGCACTCACTTTCAACTTCAGGCTTTTGCTGAAAACTGTCTTTGTCTTGCAGGGAACACAACACTGCTAGCTCTCAGGAAAACACTAACCCCAGCCTTCCACTGTCCCAGGACAGTAATCCCCAAACAGCCTCTCGGTCCCTGGCCCCGCCCCCCAGCAGTAACTCATCCCAAGGCTCAGGCCTCACCACTTCGGGCCTTCACCCAAACAACAGTAATGCCTCATCTCATGGACAGAGCCCAGCCACGCCCACAGGGTACTTGACCCCCGTTCGGACGCAGCAGGTCAATAGCCCCTCCCCTCTTAGTAGTCCACTCACAACCACCCCTACCTCATTTAAGTCGCCCCGGATGCCAAGGGCCAGTCCTGGGCTTGGGGGAAGCCCTCGAGTTCCAGGGAACCCTTTCTCTCCTTCCACAGCGGGCCTTCACTCCCCTGTGGGGGGCTGGAGCAGCGGTACCAGTGGTGGGACGGCTGGGGGCTTCTCCATGTCATCCCCTGTTCAGAGACAAGCAAGTACCGCTGCCACCTCGTGTCCCCGGCCTTCTTCTGCCAAACCCTCAGAAGCAGCGGACGTGGGGGCTGAGGACCCTACGTCACCGGAGGGTAACCCTCGGCTCAACCAGCTCCTGGACAGTAACGGCACAGGGGCTGAAAGCAACAGTGCTTCAACAACCCACCCCGTCCCGCAATGTCCTGCCTCTCATAGTACTTTGACCGAGAGACACAAAATCCTGCACCGCCTGCTCCAGGACACCAGCCCCAACGACTCCTCCAGCGCCACAGAGGACAGCGGTAACAGATCTGATGTGGAGATCAAGAAGGAACCCACCGCTTGCCCCGCTCTTGGCTCAGGGACCACCAAATCCAGCTCCAAAGAGCCACAAGACCACCAGCTGCTGCGCTTCCTCCTGGACACAGACGAGAAGGTACATCTTCACCTCACACATGATTATCTGGGTCTGCTGTCATCACATTGCGTTTGAGGAGAATGTTTTCTCTTGAAGGATTTGGGAGATCTGCCGCCTCCTTCAGCATTGAGCCTACAGACGGTGAGGGTGAAGCTGGAGAAGAGAGCAAGTGAGTCCGAGTCTTGTCCAGGACTCCCTCCTTCAGGGGGCTCCTCCACCTCCAAACCTCCAGCGGGGACCACACCCAGGTCCTGCATCAGCCCCAAGGCCAGCCCCCGAGAGAGACGCAAAGACAGCAGAGACTCTATGGTACACTGCCACGCACCCACATTTGCCGCTCTGTGCCACTGAACACCTTCAGTTTTGTAGTTAGGGGTGTCATGGTATGAAAATTTAAGCTCATAGTTATTGTGACCAACATTAACCATGTAAAAAACGGTAATCGTGACATCCCTAGGTGTAGTGGCTCTCTGAGGTGTTTATTTCTCTTCTCGGCTCGTCATACTGTCAGCTGTAAACCTGTTTATTATCAAAAACAGGTTTACAGCAGACAAAGACCAGGGCTGTTGATACCACAGACACAGACTGTGCTTTTGACACATGTGACGAGCAGAGGAGAAACCACTGAAGTCTTCATTTTGAAGTGAAGTAATTGTTTATTTGGGAAAACACGTTGTTTTACAAGTTTTAGTTTTATTTATGTCTACATTTATATTCATAGACTGATAACCGTATTAGTCGTATATGAGTCAATAATGAATCCATATGGGAATCATTAAAGACATTTTACAGTTTAAACAAACAAAGCTCTAATGCGAGGCATTTTGAACGTGGAAAAACCCACAGTCATAGTGACCAAGAGGTGTTTACCTGACCATAGGCTCCGCCTCTTGGTCACTATGACTGTGGGTTTTTCCACGTTCAAAATGCCTCGCATTAGAGCAGGGTGTGCTTTCTATTATTGATGCTTTTGAGTTGATTCAGTGACTACAGTTTTTGAAAGAAAGCACAGCTGGTTATAGATGATTCTGTTATGTTATTTTACGACTAAAGTATTTCCAAAGTATTGTAATTAAATACTTTCTTCACATTGTAAGTTAGTAGTAACTTAATGACATACTAGTAATATGTAACTAATTTAATTTCATACAAAGACACTTTGTGGCACAAAGTGGGCAGCGTCCTGAACAGCTGTAAATCAACTTGCATGTTTATTTTCTTGGACTTTGACTCTGCTGTCAGCTAAACCACCAGAAGCAGCCTTTTGAAGTTTCAGAAACCCTCCCCCAAAACTTAATGTTACTCTTTCTAAACCATCTTTCTACAAATACTGATGATGTAGTAGAAGCTGCTTCCTCCTCTGTGCTTTGCATTCCTGTATGTGGGCCATGTTCAGACCATCTGTCAGTGACGATAAGCCTGAAGCAGTAAGAGAAAACTGGTTTGGTTATTTTGGGACATACCTGAAGCTGTCGTTAACACCATGGACTGTGGTCATGTGACTGGGCTTATTGGAATGCTTGTTTTGCCTCTCGTTTTTTAGAGTTCTGCTGGTGTAGTGGACGTGGATCCTCTCCAGCTGCTCCCCAGCCTCAAAACAACTGGAGCCAAATCGAGCTCTGAGGAGTCTGAAGCAGGCCCCCAGAGCCTGCCTCCTCTTCAGTCACTGTCCCCCCAGATGCACTCCCCCTCCCCTCAGCTTAAGCTCCAGTCCCCGTCCCAGCTTCACCCTCCAGAGGCTGGCACTCCTCGCAGCATCAGTGTGAAGAGAGAGCCCCCCGGAACCCCCAATAGAGGTACGCTTCATTGAGAAGGAGCCACTCCCAAACAGAGCAGAAAGGTTTTCAATCCAAGTCGATGTTTATATTCTTAACCAATTAATTTCAGCGTAAATGATTTGAATCTGTACTTTATATTGTTTGAACAAAATAATTGAATATGTTTGTAAACAAAAACAGATCTCTTTAAAAATTTAAAAATTTAAAACCACTTCTGTTCATAAAATCACAGCACCACCCATGATTGTGTAGTAATCCTAGGGCTGCAACTAGGGGTGTGACGATATATCGATTTTTCGATATATCGCGATACTTTCTCCCGCGATTCGATTATCAATATGCATTTGCCAAGTATCGATATCGATTTAGAAGAAAATCTTTTTACTTTTTTTTTTTTGGTATCAATACTTAATTTATGGCTACATTATGCATCTCCCTTCTATTTATCATGAAATAAAGAGTATTTTTTATTTTATTTATGCCATAAATTGGCATATTGTATATCTCTAACCACTATATCAATAATCGTCATATCGTGATAAAATCGTTATCGTAATATCGTTATTGTGATATTATCGTTATCGTGAGCTTTGTATCGTGTATCGTATCGTATCGTATCGTGACGTACCCTTAGGTTCCCACCCCTAGCTGCAACTATCCATTGTTTTTCTAATTGATGAATCTATGAAATATTTATCAAATTTAGAGGACAAAGCTTCCTACAGGGATAAATAAAGACATTTACGTTTTCATATGTCGTCTTTTTTCTTAGGACTGAGTGATGGTTGCCCTGCATCGGGCTGCAGTCTTCAGAGTCAGACGTCATTTGACTTTTGCAATCCTCAAACTCCCAACCAGAGCCAGAGAGACCCTTTCCTCACCCCCAAAGATAGCAGCCCCTTCCCTGAGCAGGACATCTTCAGCTCTAGCCCCGGTACATACTCATAGACACAGTGTCGATCTGCCTACAATACAGTTTAAATCCTCATCTCTGCTACACAATTCTATTACCACCTCCTGGATTATTCGTTTTTTGCATCCAATAACAACTCGCTTATTCTACATCTATTGTCTGATTTGTGCCATAGCCTCGTAAAATACTGAAGGTGATACGATGTTTGTTGATGCTCAGAACATCCTTTGGACAATCTAGCTTCTACTTTAGGGGGGTTATTCTGTGGAACTCTCTCCTCACTGGACTAAAACTACAGACTTAATGACCATCTTCAGCAGAAAGCTCAAACAGTGGTTAAGATCAAGACAGAGCTGTTTTTCACATGTACATTTTATTATAATTGTTATCTGTAAAAGCCCCCGTGGACTAGTGTTGAAACTAGCCCACTCACAGCAATGCATCTGGTTCGTCCAATGTCCTGTCCATATTAAATTAATAAATAATAATTTTTCAGGACTAAACAAGATGGACGTGGCAGACTCCCAGTTCCAGCCGTTAGCCCTGTCTGACCCTTTGCCTTTTGACGTCCTGGGAAACCCTCTCCAAGCTCCTCTGGCATCACCACAAGAGTAAGTCCACACGGTCCTCTCAGTGTGTTTGTGTGCCTTGGTGAAGACCCCTCCTCAGTGTTGTTGTGTTGTGGAGCAGGCAGTGTGTGCCCTGTACACTGGATGATGTACTCGGACCTCCCACCACACCAGAGGCGCGCAGCGACGAGAAGGCTCTGCTGGAGCAGTTGGTGTCCTTCCTCAGCGGCACAGACGAGAGTGAACTGGCAGAGCTCGACAAAGCCCTGGGCATTGACAAACTTGTGCAGGTGACTCTTAATTATGATTTTGTTTTCTTAAAAGTGAAGACTTCCTCAAAGTTTAGTAGTAATGAATATAACAAGAAATTCAAAAATAATATATTACCAGGCTGTATTTGTATAAAAATGTTATACTGTTGAGGATCGATATCAGGGAATGTATGCTGTATTCTGAAACGTGTGATGATGCTACATTTGAACCATTTGATCTGGAAAAGGCAAAAGTCAAATTTTAAAATGTAATAAACTGAAAACAACATTTAAACATATTTTAAAGCCACCAAACCATCAAACATAGAAATGCATTTCTAAGCCCTTTCTAAAGAAGGTGGCGCCACCTGCATGTCTATAATAATAATAATAATAATGCATTGGTTTTATATAGTGCTTTTTTGGACACTCAAAAGACGCTTTATTAAGTAAATATTCTTTCACTCCATACACGGTTGTGATAAACTACTACTATAGACACTGCTGCCCTGGGGCACACTGACAGAAGCGAGGCAACCAGTATGTGCCATCGGCCCCTCCGACCACCACCAACCCTTCACACACAAACCAGACTCATTCTAGGCAATGGGGGTGAAGTGTCTTGCCTAAGGGCACAACAGCAGTTTGGCACTTTACAGCCGCAGCCACCCCGCTGTGGCATCTGGTGTTCCCAGAGGTTAAGTGTCTTGCCAAGGACACAACGACAGCACACAGTGGGAGTCGATGGTGAAAGTCTTGAGGTGGGCTTGAACCCACGACCTTCTGGCTCAAAGGCCAATGCTCTACCAACTGAGCTACTAAAGCCGCTAGAGTAATCTCTAGAGTGTGCAGGTGACTGAGTCAAGAAAACACCTCTAGAGTGGAACAGAATAGACAAGCTGCGCGGCGGGAAGCTGTTTCAGACCTGTGTGAAGAAAAAGGCTTGAATTCTCTGGCTAAAATGACCTCACCACTTCCACGCACGTAAATTTGGACACGCACAGTAGCCGAGAACAAACGTAAACAACAATGGCAGCGGATCATCTAATGTACATGTGCTTCGAGCGCTACACGGAGGAGAATCCTACTCCTCAACAACATGTATGAATCGCTCTAAAAACTGTGAAAGACAAGGGAAACAATATTGTGTTCTAACTGAGATGTCAAACGTCTGTTGTGTCTGTGACGGAGAATTCCCGAACACCTGTTAACCCCTGTTGTCTGTCGGCAGGGGGGCTGTTTCGACCCTTTGCCTCAGACCTTCCCCTCTCAGCAGCCCACTGCCACCCCTGTGCCCCTGGACCCCAAGCTGCCCTCATACCCCTCGCAGTTCACATCAGCTTCTCAGTTTGCTCCGGAGATTGCAGCTGTGGGAACACCAATCCTGAGCTTTGTTAATCCTCGCGGGGTCTTCCCGGGTGGGACCCTCTCTATGGGAATGCGGCAACCCCTTAACCAACCCCCAGGGATGGGCCCTCAGCTCAGACAGCCCCCGAACCAGCTCCGGCTCCAGCTGCAGCAGCGGCTACAGGCTCCACAGCAGGTGAGGCTGATGTGATGTCACCTTCTGCCTCCTCCTTTAGCCTAAAGCCTGTAATTGTGCTCATAGTTTGGTTTCTGTATTCTAAATATGATCAGAAATCATGTTGATAGTGAACTGTAATCAACGTCTCTTTCAGATGCAAAACCGGATGGCAGGTTTGACCCAGTTTCTTGGCGGAGCTCCACATGTGAACATCGGGATACGACAAGGAGTCCAGCCGCCACAGGTTGCTTCACAAGTAAGTTATGTGAGAGCACATCACTTAAAGTGTCCTAGTCCTAGTTTGTGACTTCCTGTTGCTTACAATGTAATAAAATATTTCTGATTCTGATTCTTCTCTCATCAGCCTCCCTTAAACGCCCAGATGGTGGCGCAGCGTCAGCGGGAGCTCTACAGTAACCAGCACAGGCAGAGACAGCTGTTCCAGCAGAAAGTCCTCATGATGAGACAGAACATGAGCGCCCCCGCTGGAGGCGTCGGGCCCATTGCTGCCGTGCGAGTCCCTAAAGGAGCCCCAGTCACCCCACTGCAGCCTCAGCAATTCAACTTCCCCCAAGGGTTCAGTCCCATGACAGGGAACCCCCCTACCTCACCCAGTAGCTACAGCCCGATGGCGGCTGGACCTCTGGACAACAAGCTGACCGCCAGAGTCCCGCTGAGCAACCAGACGCTGCTGAGCGGAGTCCCAGGACAGTTCTCCAACAACGTCACCACCATGCAGACTGCACTGTTCCCGCAGTTTGGGAGCAGCTGTAAGTTCTCTGCTCTCTCTATTCAATTCTGTTCATTTTTGTATAGCCCTAAGTCACAACAGCAGTTATCTCGGAGGACTTTAAAATACACAGACCACAGAATCAAACAGTTCAAACACAAGAAATGCAGTGATAAAAGACACATTTATCCATACCAATGTCCATAAATATTGATGATTTGAAGTTGATTAAATAGCCAATAACCAAATTATATTTTTTTTCTCTATTTTCTCTCTGAAAGCTTTAGCGCAGACAGACCCAGCTTTCCCTCCTGAGATGAGCCCGACCAGCCCATTATTGTCCCCTCAAAACTCCTCTTCCCAGAGTCCTCTCCAGCAGCAAGTCCCTCCCCCCAGCTACCAGTCTCCTGACATGAAGAGCTGGCAGCAGACTGCCATCAACAGCAACAGGTGCGTCTCTCATATTTGGGTTTTAAAGTGTTTCGTATCCAGTCTTTGAACTCTCGTTCTGCTTGTTCTGCTTGTTCTGCAGTCTGTTCAGTCCGACTCAGGGCTCAGGGCAGAGCTTCAGTCAGCAGGAGGTCTACAACAACATGAGCATCACAGTGTCTATGGCTGGAGGCTCTGGGGGCGTGGCCTCTGTGCCTTCTTTGGGACAGCCCATCGCCATGAGCAACAACAATCTTAGCGCCATCGGCCCTGTGTGCAGTGACCAGCAGGTGACAAAAAGCACAACATGACACATCCTTAACGTAGGCTTCCGTAATGATTCAGGATTCCTCAACATATGGTCTTGCTCCTGTCTCCAGGTGCAGCAGGTGCAGGTGTTTGCGGACGTCCAGTGCACGGTGAACCTGGTGGGCAGCGACTCCTACCTGAATCAGGGCTCCATGGTGGGGGGCGGGGCCTCTCAGAAGGGCGCGGTCCCACCTGCCTCTCAGAACAGTCAAGCCCAACAGAAGAGCCTCCTCCAACAGCTGCTGACCGAGTGACGACCTCTCCTCCTCCCTCTTGCTCCCTCTTGTACTCTCACTGGTTTTTGGGGAGGGCAGATTCGGGGGTGAGAAGACGGGGCCTGCGCGCTTTGTACCGCCCAGCAACTCTATTTTGTCAACCGGAGGGAAGAGCAGAGGCGCATTTGAACCTGCCTGTCGAATCTGTCTGACAACCTGTCTGTCTGCCTCAGCCTATTGTAAAGGCAGTGTTGTCTTGCTGCTCATTCCCCCTTCAGTGACCTACACTTCCTGCTTCCTAACAAGAGAAAAAAAAAATGTACATTTGCCAAGTTGTCGTCACTGTCAAATCAGGGCCGGCCTCCTCTTTTTTTTTTGCTCATTCTTTTGTTTGTTTATTTTCGTCATTTCTACAAGGGGCAACGGTTTGTATGAATTCGACCTCCGGCACCTCCGGCATTTCCCGGTTCAGTTTCATGTCCATTTCGTCTTTTGTGTGGTTTTCCTCTAGCCCATCTCAGCGATGTGGGAATGTTTTATGGTTACAGACCTCTGGCATCGCTCGGATAGCGGCTCCGCGTTTCAGCAGGTCTGGGACTGTGCTCGTGTCTATCCAGCGACAGTGCCTGACGGATGCGCGAGTGCCTCTTCACAAACTCGGCTTCTTCTACTTCAAACATATTAGTCTATTTTTTTGAGTTTATATTTTTAAAAGAATCTTTTCTCGTTTTTATTTTTGGGTTGGATTGTTGTTTTTTTTGTTTCATAAAATACTTCTGCGCTCTCTACCTTTATCAAACTCCTCATCACCAGAAACAAGAAAAACCAGATTGGTGGGTCGGTGTGTGTGGATGGGAGACAGATAGGAATGCTGCTCAATTTTCTTTTTATTTTAGATATATTTGTGTTATTTTCAAACTATAAATATGACTGTTCGGATTATTTAACTGTCTGTCCGTCACATTTTAGCCCTCACCTCAGCAGCTGTGAATTATTACAAAACCCTATTTCGAGGGTTTTGCTATTTCTCTATGTATCTCTCTTTGGCCTATCAGTGTTTTTGCCATGTGCTCCACGCAGGCGGGTAGTAATGTACAATGCAAAAGAACAAAGACTTGGGGATGAACTATTCATGCAAACGTCATGCCAACACTCGAAAATAATGATTTGATCCAGTTTTAGTGTTCTCTTTAAAAAATATATATATATCATGTTGTTAAAACAATGTTACAGCGCAAGAGGGAGACTTTTTATTATTGACATTTAGAAATTGCTCCCGGAAAAAAAAAAAAACTCAACGGATGGATTTGCTTTGCCTCCTCTTTCGTGGGAGCTAGTTAGCCATTTGGCGTATTTCCTCATTGTTTTTATTATTACACTTTTAAGAGTGCGTTTTTTGTTCCGAGAATTTGTGTTTGTATCGTAACCGTTGTATAATGCGAAAGGTGTGTCCCGATCAGCGCGGTACTCTGCAAAACAAGGCGCTATTGGATGTTTTTTCCTATATATTGACATTAAAGTAGAGGCTTTAGATAGACATTCTTTGAAAAACATATGTGATTGATGATTAATTGATTTTTTTGAAAGCATAAAAAAAAATGAGAAGCAAAATCAGCTAATAAATACACATTTGGGGGCCGTGGGGATTTTGGCTCGTCCTCTCTGGCCGCTGAGTTTGGCGTAACTCCTGCGGCTTCAGATCTCTGGGCGACTGTGGCTCAACAAAACAGGAGAATATCGCCGACCAATCAGTGCTCTCCGTTTCCTTCGGTTACAAAACTCTTACAACTCACATTTCACTCAACGAAAAGACGCAACTGTAAATTAAATTAGATCGTCTGACATAGGTGATTTAGAGATTATTTATTTTATGTCGAAAATATTGTTTACGAATTGGTACACATCTTAATTCAACCGACATACCTCAGGTGCTGAATATCTAGAGAGTTGAGAGCAGGATTTTGCAGTAAAGAATCAAATCAAACAGGCAGGTTTTAGTTTTATCTCATGAGTGATAAGTGAGACATTGCTCATCTTTGTATTTTAGCTAAAACAAATATTTAAAGCTGTGGTACCTAACTTTATTTTTTAATCAATGTCACACGTCTTTGGTTCCAACAGTAAAATGTTGTGAACAAACCAGACCATCTTTTAGCAAACACATGTTTGTATAGAAAACTGTTTTGAGAATGAGATGACCAGGGAGATGGTTTTCATGAAATGGTTAATTGTATTGGTAGTTTATAAGTTAGGTACCCCCAGATTAAAAATTAATATCAAGATAAATTCTGCTTCAGCATTTGTTAAGAACGTCACCATTGTTCACGTGTCTTGCATTTTATTTACATTTCCGTCTCTGAAAATGTGAGTTGCGTAAGATTGACGCAAATAAAAAGGAATCGGATGGAATTGGAAAATCTCAACCATAAAAAATGCGTCGCTAAAACAGAAGCGTACAGTAAACATCCCTTACCCTCTGATCTCGCCCCCCCTCCCCCTCCCCCAGCGGTGCGCGCTGCAGCTACTACCTCACCCCCGGGATGCGACCTGAGTCCCACAAACAGAACCTCACTTTTTGTTTTTCTCTAGTCTTTGCAGCCGCCGCACACTCAATTCAAACCGTCTCCAATTCAACCGCCTTGATTTATTTTGGATTTTTAATCTTGCCTTCCTGTACACGTTGTGACCAGGACGCACGCCGACCAGGCCGGCGTGCGCTACAGATTCTGGCCCGTTTGTTTTCCCCTCGTACAACGCGTACAACACACAATCCTCCATATGCAAACGATGAAAAAGGTCTACATTCCTCCGTCATCTGTGTTTGACAACCACATTGTGTTCTCAACCAGATGCCAGCTCTGTAAAAAATAAATAATAATAATTAGAAAAAATAATTAAATACAAAAATCCAAGCAGTGTCACAGGAGTGAGCGCAATCTGCGAAAGTTTTATTTTTTATTTTTTTTGCAAGTTTTTTATTTTTTTGGAGCACCTTCTCATCGACCCCATGGTTGTTTTTGTTCTGTTTTTGAAAGGAAAAGCACTTCTCGCAGCCTGAAAAAGAAATCTGACTGCCAAGCACTTCGATAGGGTTGAATGTGTGCGTGCCGCGGTGGAGCCCAGTTATAACGCTTCCCCCTCTACCTCAAAATGGGCGTCCACCGTCGCATCCAGCATGAGACTATTATTATAGACAGTTCGCGTTCCACTTTGATTGAGCTTGTCCACATGATTGCAAGTTATACAAAGGAGGAAACCTTTGGAGTCCTTTAGAGAAAATTGGTAGCCACGTTATCATGTAGTGGGCTCGGTGTAGACTACCGCAGGTGGTCCCGGTCACTGTTTGGTCACGCTCACACACACACACAAAGTGGTCAGAAGGATTTTTTTTGAAGGATTTTTTTCTTTTTTTGTCCATGTCTCCTCACCCCCCTCCCCTCTGTTCAGTCATTCCTATGGAACAGGTTTTTCTCTTCATCTTCTTCATTGTCACCCGCACCATGCCAAATACAAGCGCTGCATACAGAGACTTTAGTTTTATTTTTTATGCAACAGCCATTAGCAGGAACACCCCCCGTCCCCTCCCCTCTTTCCTCCTCACTATGACGAACAGGTACACGGTTCGCTTCTTTTATAACTTTCAAAATGTAAACATAATGTATATAACAGAGAAATGTGAATATGTATTTGTTAAGAATCAACAAAAAACTAGTGCTCCGAGATTGTGGTAAATAACTACTCGCCTCCGTCATGTTTTATTTTGATGTTTTGATTTTCTACTTTTTTATTTTTCTGCAGATGTATGTATGTATATGACTATCAGTGCGTGCGCGTGTGTGTGCGTGCGCATGTGTGTGTGTGCGTGCGCATGTGTGTGTGTGCGTGCGCGTGTGTGTTAGTGATTAATACTGTATATCTGCCGTTCTCTAAGATGGAAATGGAAATGTGGACAATGTCCCACTTTGATTTTTCTGTTCTTCTTCTTCCTCTATGGACCCTGCACAGTACCTGTGGCTGTTCAGAAAACTATGCCAGAGAATGGTTTAGCGACTGCTGAATGTGATTTTACTGAGAAAGAAGCAGTGTGGACTGGCTTTTTGTACGGGTTAATTTAAAAAAGGCCATATTATTTAATTTTCTGTTGTCAAACGTTTAAGGCAGACATGGGAGAGTGGAGCCTTGGTGTCGGGGGAGAAGCATGGCCTCTTGAACGCCGAGTGGTGGAGACTAATGTAGTTTGTATGGGACTAGCTGAGTTGTGTAGCCTTTTTTGCATTTGTCAATAGTAAATGACCAAAGCTTTGAGATTTTCCGATGGTTTCATATGCAAACCTCTCATCCCGGGACAAGACCTAACGTAGCTCCCAGTCTTCACTTCACACGTGGTTTCTCCGTCCTTCTGCTCATGTAGGTCCCACAGGTCTCCGCCACGTCACCAACTCGTCTTTAGCGCCGAAAGTGCTCTCTCTCGTTTACAGTAAGAAGAAAAAAAAAACACAGTTTGCTATGCACCTTAACAGCATTTCCTTTTGTACAGACCACAGACGCGCCACAGCCCTGGTATGAAGCCTCCATTCAAAGCCCACTCCTCACCACTCGCTACCAAACTTAAGGTGCCTCTTGTATATACTTTCTGCAATTACCTTGTTAAGTCAGGGTTTTTTAAATAAGCTTTTTTTCACATTTATAAATTTGAGAGAATAATTGTATTTTAAATGACTTTTTTACTCACTAATAATCAAATAACTCCAGGAATTTGCAAATACAATCTAATTTTGCACTTTATCTTAGATTTACCCAGAGATAAATCCGTCAGTTGAAATAGAATTTAATAAAATGCATAATGGAACAATGAGTGAAGTCATCGCCATGAATGTAAACAGATGTTATGTGACAGAAAAGAACGGCTGTAGGTTTTGTCCATAGCTCTTTTAAACACTTTATATCGGTCAGGTCCTGGACAGAGACCAGCAGTAGAATCAAGATACCAAAAACACATACTTTCACCAGAGAGTAAACATGTGAGAGATGCAGTGTAGTTGAATAGAGTTATATCTTATACTTATAAAATATATTGGTCCCACAGCGGGGTCCAGACCAGAGCGTTTTAACAAATGATGTGAAATAGATCTGTGCTTCAAACAAGATGAAAAGTGTAGCTTTTATTCACAGCTGTTTGTTCACGACGGTAGAGTAAAATATGTTGTCGATGCGGTCACTTTGCTGTCTCCGTCCCTGGTCACTGGTCTCAAGCTGTGGTCCCACATTCCTCCCCTTTAGTGACAGAACCTTGCTCTCCTTATCCCTCTCCTCACGGCACACGTCACCGTGGTTTTATAAATACGTGTTCTCATCCCGTACGTAAAAAGGCTATTACTCCAACCTTCACTATCCTGAGAATCAGCCAAAACAAACTGTAAAAGATCTGTAGCATCCTGTAAACTTTCCACAAAGTCATCCAAAATAATCTGTGAAATAAACGCAACTTTGAATTATTGCAAATTCCAGGCCAACGTCTGGTGAAGGTGTCAGGGAAGATCGCTGCAAAAAATGTACATACTTTTCATGAATCAAAACAGTTTGGAGAGGAGTAATAGTTGTGTCGTCCACTCTTGTCTGAATTGATGCCTTATGGACGAACGCTGGTTTGTGGGTCAGAGATTTTAGCCATGGCTCAGCGTGAGCTCCCACTCTGCTTCTGAGGCAATGCTTTTCTGGAGATAAAGGAAAGATCAAGGCTCCACTTTCTCCCTTGTTCAAATTAATATAAATATATATATTATATTTTACACATTTGTCCAGTTTTGTATATTACACTCATGTGGGGTTTGTTTTTTAAGAGGCATCGGAGCAGCTATTACAGACAATATGAGTGACAATGTTCATCTGGGAAAATTCTGCATGTTCTGGTTTCTTCTGTCTGATTCCCCTGTTCAGGTGTGTGACGTGAAATGAATCTACCTTTTCTTTGGAATGTTGTAGACAATCAGTCTCAGGCTGGGTTCCTCCCTGCAGGGAGTCGATCGACAACTAACTTTTGTTTGACAAATACAAACTTTTATTTGCATCTACTGGAAGTCTACATTTTGTTCATTCATATGTTTCGTGGCTGCTCAAGTTTACACACACTTCTCTACTACACTCGACACAAACACCTTGTGCATTTGATCCCTCTGCTCTTTATTTCCAAGGTGAGGATGCCAACGTTGAGGAAATGATGCTTTGACTAACAAATCTATAACATCTATGAATGTGGGAATGCAACACATTGCAATAAAAGCACCATTTGAAATGCAGCTCGGCTCCTGTACTTTGTAAACATCAAGTAACTCCTACTGACCAAACGGACCTCTGTTCTATGTAATTTTAGTTTTTATTAAAGAGTACAACAACAACACAACTGATATGTAAAATCACAACTGATTTGTATAGCGACTATACATACATACATTCAGTCATGTCCAAAGCAGCAAAAAAAATTTGAAATCAAGTCTCCTTCTGCCGACTGGTAAAACCATATTGTAGGAACAAGATGTGTCCCTCAGTGTCTCTGTTCAGTTTACTGTATATACATAGAAGGACATGTTCGGTATATTTGCCTATTCCTAAATCTGGGGAGTTTTCTCGTTCTTGACAACTGAGATTCAAATGAATATATTCCTCCTTCCTCTCTCACCAGCCAACGCAGTCCAGGACAGAGACCGAAAGGGTTAAATAATTGGACATTCTCACAAACGATGATAGGGAACAGCATCATTCTGACATTTCCAACACATACATTGTTCATTAGACTTGATCTGTGCTACTTTACTGGTGTCCAGTAAGTTAATTTCCCTTATTCTTCCCCAATTATATCTCCATGTCCTATCTTAAGTAGAACAATTATATGGTGAAACGAGTGAAGGACAAAAAGAAGTTATGGGCTGTTCTATCCTTATGCTTCCACCAGAGGGAGTTGTTGGATTTGTTATTTTTCCAAATTTTCCACACAAAAATGTCTGCAGCCATAAACACGGTGGTAAAGAATGCAATTTTATTGGAAAGAGGGCCCAAACTAACGACTATTCCAGGAACGAGCGTTCACGAGAATCCTGTGACAGACAATCGGGTGAGCAGTGACAATAACAAAAATGGGCAGAATCCAATGATCTTGGATCGATTTACAGCCTGAGTTTGCTGTAACATGAACACACACTGAAAAAAGTCTATTGAAATGCAAACGTACATTTTTAGTCAAAATTCAAGACCATCTATAACTGTCTATTACTGTGAGCGTCATATGAATCCAGCTCATATCACTCTCATACTTGTACTTCCTATTGATGTGTGTCAACTCAAAAGGCTGATGATCCCACTCATATGATGGGTATGGTGTCCCCTGGCCCAGACTTGTGGGCTGCCCTCCTTACCCGCCTGGGATCCTCCCATGGATCTATAATAATAACCTGTCCTCATTCTACAGCCTGAGTCCTGGATCAATGATCTGTCCATTGGATCAGATCTCTCAATATGAGGGTTTAAAGACCGTGACAGTCCGGGACATTTATTCACATTTATGGACTATTGGCTCCTTTGTGTTTGTTATGATTGCATTTCTTGTCATCGAAAAGTTTGTTGGTGAATTGAAAACCCTGTAAAGTCCTCTGAGGCGACTGCAGCTGTGATTTAAGTCCATACAAAAATACATTGAATTGAAATTGAATTGAATGTTTAGTGTTTATGCTTCACTCTTGCCACATGTGGTCTATAGCTGCGTCTGGGACACTACCCCTTTGTCCTGGATGATGGGCTCTTTCTGGAGGTCAGAGTAGTTTGCCTGTTCGATGGGGGGAGTGGGAGACTTGTGCTCTCTCCACTCCACGATGGGGTACGTGATGATGGTCAGCAGCAGCATGGCCAGCAGTATGTACAGTTTATACTCCAGACAGATGAAGGTGCTGTAGGCGAAGGCCAGGACAAAGCCCAGAGACTCCCACATCCTGTAGTTGGCAAAGGCCGCCTCCTTGTCCCGCGGGAACAGCACACCGTACAGCGCTGAAACACAATATGAATATAAATGTAAAAAATAAAACGCACACCTTTGGCCCTCCGCGGGCGGTTATCCCTCTCTAAGCTCGGGTCCTCTACCAGAGGCCTGGGAGCTTGAGGGTTCTGCGCAGTATCTTTGCTGTTCCTAGCACTGCACATTTCTGGAACGAGATGTCCGAGGTTGTTCCGGGGATCCGCTGTAACCACTCATCTAGCTTCGGGGTCACTGCCCCGAGTGCACCGATCACCACGGGCACTACTGTCACCTTTACCCTCCAGGCCCTCTCCAGCTCCTCTCTGAGACCTTGGTATTTCTCAAGCTTTTCATGTTCTTTTTTCCTGATGTTACCGTCCGTCCGTCCGTTTTCTTCCGCTTCATCCGTTGCCGGGTCGCGGGGGCAGCAGTCTAAGCAGAGACGCCCAGACTTCCCTATCCACACACACTTCCTCCAGCTCGTCCGGGGTGACCCCAAGGCGTTCCCATGCCAGCTGAGAGACATAGTCCCTCCAGCGTGTCCTGGGTCTTCCCCGGGGCCTCCTCCCGGTGGGACGTGCCCGGAACACCTCCCCAGGGAGGCGTCCAGGAGGCATCCGGAACAGATGCCCGAGCCACCTCAACTGGTTCCTCTCGACGTGGAGTAGCAGCGGCTCTACTCCGAGCTCCTCCCGTTTGACTGAGCTCCTCACCCTATCTCTAAGGGAGCGCCCAGCCACTCTGCGGAGGAAGCTCATTTCGACCGCTTGTATCCACGATCTCGTTCTTTCGGTGATGTTACCATCGCTTGGAATTGCCACGTCCACCACCACGGCTGTCCTCTGCCCTTTGTCTACCACCACAATGTCAGGTTGGTTCGCCATTACCATTCGGTCGGTCTGTATCTGGAAGTCCCACAGGATCTTCGCACGCTCATTCTCCACCACCTTTGGAGGAGTTTCCCACTTAGACCTTGGGGTTATACTGTATATATGTCAATAATTGAAGGTTGGCTCTTCATTGGGATCTTAAATGTACTTAAAGGTAATTGTTAAATGTGACCTTTTTAAGAATATTTACCTCCACCATGTTTTTGAACTGTTGTCACAGACTGTACCTGCTGTAGTTTGTACACAGCATGTGCACAGTGAACACGTGAACAATACGTAACTTCTGACTGCCAGCCCCTGACCCAGAAATGGATTTAGGGGAAGAAAATGGATGGATGGATGACAATAATGAGAACGAGGCAGAATCTGCAACACAAGCCTCAGGATGTACTGGCCCCCCCCGAGCGCAGTCCAACGACTATGTTTCAACAAAAGTCTCGAATATGCATAACACACAGAATCCCCCCAAAACAATCGGCAGAATACGTTTATCAACAGCGTTTATCACAGGTACAAAAGATTTTGTGACTGGACCACACTTTGGAGTTCAAGGACGGTGTAGTCCACAGGCTCAAACTTGTTCTACTTCTGGATGGATGTTTTCTTTATATTTATATTTGAACATGATAGTAAGTATATGATTTATTTACTATACAATTAAGTTCCAGCTATAGAATAGTTTCCAAATTCCCCAGCTTAACTTCCCCTGGACATGTACATGAAACTTCACTGAAATGCCCCTTTGCAACCCGATGTGCATTGTAGTATTTTTTTCTCCTTTTTTACGATTTCAATAACGACATGAACATTGGAGATAAAGCAGCACCAACTTCGAGCTCAAGGAAACACATAAATCACAACATATGTTTCCACTGAAGCAGAGAGTGAGACATTTATTTCTCCAGGTGTCACTTTGTTGTATCGGGGAGGGCCAGACTCGTTTTACCACGCAAACTTAGTTTAATTTATTTTACCAAATGTTGTGTGTTAATTTCTGTGAAAGTTACTGCACTTAAAACATTATTTATGCAGCTGTAAAGTGTAGAGTGTCCAAATATAAGCAATATTTAAAACCAATGCAAAAATGATGACCAAAATGACGCCACTAATGTTGAGTGTTGTGAGTGTTGTGTGGTGAGTGTGGATGCTTCTTTGTTACCGTTGGTTTGTGTTTGCCAAACCGCATCAGCCATCCCCCATAAAGCAGGAAACACAAAGAACACCGGCAGCTCATCAGGGTGAGGTCTCCACAGCAGCAGAGCGATGATACAGGCCAAGTTTATCACAGCAGCTGCAACAAACACAAAAGAGGAGACACTTCAATAAGGAACCTGCCTTTCACCTATTTCAGGGGTGTCCAAACTTTTTAGCAAGAGTGCCACTTTAGTTCATCAGACTTGACCTAGGGGCCGACAACCTGGATTTGAAAAACTGAATTGGAGCTGGATTGACTGGATTCTGGAATTTACAATGGGTCATGATACGTCCTTATTGATCACACCACCAGGCATTTTATTTAGAATGTTGTGACACTAAAGTCAACAACCGGATTACAGAGGGTCTGAAATTTACAACAAAGTATACCGTGACTGGATTGGTGGAGATGAAGTTGGTTGGATGACACTGTCAAAGTGCCTTAATGGCGACTTTGTGTTTGTAGCAGAAGGGCCACATAAAAAGGCACAGAGGGCTGCAATTGGCCCGCAGGCCTGAGTTTGGATATGCCTGACCTATTTGAATCCAAGTTATCAATATAGAGTTGTGTTCCAAAATGTTTGAAGACATTGTAAGCCCGAGGAGATTTAACATTTACAGTAGAATTATTAAGATTAGATTTATTCTCTCATTAGATTAGATTATGTTCAACTTTATCGCCATCACAAAGTCTTATAGGGTAATATTTACAACACTGATAAAGATATATGCACATATGTGAGACGGTGCAAAGATACTATTGGTAAACTATACACTAATTATAAAACATTATAATTCATACACTCATTATTATACATTACATAATCTCTTGTGAGAGCCGACATCTTACCTAAGGCGAACAGAGTGCTGCGGCCCGTGTAGCGAGCCAAGCGTCCGAACAGGAAGGAGCAGAGGGAGTTGGAGGCTCCGAAACACATCATGATGAAGCCCACGTAGTGAATGCCCAGAGCACACGTCACATAGTTCTGCAGCAGGACAAAAATATATACAGTAAGTGTAATTTAAGATGAAGAGATCCTTTGTTCGTCCCACACGGGGGGTTTCAGTGTTGCATCACCAGCTACAGTGGGAATGGGGAGCGCACAGCAAGATAAATTAACAATAACAATAAGGAAGCAAGCATTGATAGCATATTCTAATGCAAGAAATATAGTTACATATATCTGTACGACCTCGTCAAAACAGCTCCCTCGTTGGAATGTTTTAAGCCACGTCTTGGGATTCCTTTTTACTCTCTGGCTTTTAACACTGCGTGAGTTGTGTGGTCCTCTGTTTTATGAGTTTTATCTGTTTTATCTGTCTACGTTTTGGAGAGGGCTATTGTTATTTGTTGGTTTCATTTTTTTTGTTTACGTTGAAAGGACACCATTTTTGACCCTGAAGACATGCACGAATAACAGCACATCAATCAATCAATCAATCAATTTTACTTATAGAGCCCTTTACAACACTCAAGGCGACCAAAGTGCTACACAATAAATGTACATAAAATCCATGAAAACGTAATGTATGTATGCATAATGTATGCATTAAAACAATAAAACAGTAAAAAACTTTAAAAAGTGTCACCTGCTAATGAGTGATAAAAGTCTTTATAGCCAGTCTGAATAAATAGGTTTTGAGCCTCAATTTAAAAAGGCCAAAATCAGCACATTCGACCGGTTCAGCAAAAAAATTAATAAAAGGAATGTTTGGAGTTTTTCGGACGCATGCTGACTCTATATTGCCCCCTGGAAATAGATAGAACTCTCTTGGCGCCACCTATGGGAGGCCTCTGACCTAAACATGTTCCGTTTCTGCACCAAAGTCGCACAGTCAAAGTCTGCACATCTGTACGTGCAAAATATTACAGTATGCAGAGGGTGCGTGTGCCAAAGGCGACCACTAGGGGTGCACTGAATCCTTTAAATTAGCTTTTTTGTGCATAATCCTGGTCCGATAAGGCTGAAAACTCAAAGGCAGGTACACCGCATGCCGCTTATTGGAGGCGGTCGCGAGAGGGACTTTCATTGCCTCTTGCGGATTAAATTTATTTTATTGTTTTAATTTTTTGTTTTGTATTGGATAACTGATATTTTATTGTTCCATCCATCCATCCATCCATCCATTTTCTTCCCCTTAATCCATTTCTAGGTCGGGGGGAGGTGGCAGTCAGAGCTGCACCCAGTCCACATAGCACCAGCCCCTCACTGATCCTCCTGCAGGTGGTGAGTCCACAGGAGCTGAGATCTTTCAGCGGAAGCTTCAGGCAAAGTGGGGTTAAGTGTCTTGCCCAAGGACACAACGACAGCAGACATCAGTGGGAGTCATGAAGTAGGTCTTACGGTGGGATCGAACCCACGACCTTCTGGCTCTAAGCTACTGTCGCCCTATTTTATTGTTATTATTCATAAATCTTTTGTATTTTTTTACTTCATACATCATAATTGTTATTCTTGGCAAACCTGTATTGAAATGTGTTACTTAGCACTGTGCAGCAATTTGGAAAATGGTTTTATAAAATGTACAATATAAATAAAGAGGATTGGAATGGATTGGGTCTGTCTATCTATATGTATATCTCTCTATATATACTGTATATATACATATATGGGTATAGGACACAGAGCCTACAGTAGAGCAGTGTGAGCACCTTGGTATACTCTCCGGACAGGAAGCTCTGCTCGAAGCCGCTGTACATGGTGAGGGGGATGAGGGTCAGGAGCCTCCAGTCCTTCAGGAGTCTGAACGTGGCTAAGAAGGTGTGACAGAACGGCTCTCGCTGACCACGGAACTCACTGGTCTGCTGCTGGTCGATGTTGTCCAGGAAGACGGAGATGATGAGCATGGCCAGCACCCCCACACCTGCGCGCACACACACACACACACACACAAACTCAAACTCAAATCCAAATCTGGCTCGCAAGACTTTTTCTAGTGGCCCACTCTACGAGTTATTATTAAAAACAATAAAATGAATAAATCAAGTCAAAAGTTGGTGTAGATTACAGCTAAATACACTGAATCATTTTGTATATAACTATATTGTTGTAAAAGATTGCAGCAGATCTGAGTTCAGAAGAGTTGTGTTACCGATGTAGGATCCCACCAGGGTCCACACCAGCCTCTGCTCTGGTCTGAAGCTGGTGGCGTTGGAGCTGATGTTCAGGCCACAGTCTGCGGCTCCACACGTCAGCAGCTGCGCCTCAGGGATGGCCGCTACACACACACAAACAACACACTGTCAACATTCAGAAACATTCACCAGAGAATATATCAAATAAGTCTATAAACTTAGATTTGGGATTTCTTTTTGAAAATAGCAGTTTGTTTTTATGGAAGACTGACTAAAACAAGCCAGACCTTTTAAAACAAAAGTATCGGTCATGAATTAGTTTTTGCAAAGTCTCAAATGAATTTAGTTCTTGACTAATTTTTTTATTTGAGAAAAATAAAAACAACAAATTCTACACTTCCCTCTAGTGGTAGCATATGGATAGGGCAGGTGGACAACATCATTTACCCTTCATGCCTGTTTCACCCTACATTTTCTACTGAAGACACTAGTTAATTCTAAACATGTATATTCTAGCACATTCCAAAACATGGAAGAACAAAGTAGATAGTCTCATTAAACTTTTGAATGTCTAAAACATGTGTAAAACTTCTTAAACTATGTTCTAATCTCTCATTGTTGAGTGATGTCTCGTCTCTTTTTCTGTCAGTGATAATGAGAAGGAGCCGGTGACACACACGACCTTGAGACGTTTGACACATCGTTTGTTGTGTTGTTAGAATCAGCTTTTATCACGAGGAAGTGGAAAAGAGGTTAATCTTTGTTTTTCAATAAAACGGTAACAGTTTGTCCCTGTTATCTACTCTCCACCTTTGCACAGATCTACGAGACACACTTCCTGCTGAAATAACAAACTCTAGATCTCCTAAACCTTCTGAATGTGAAATCAGCAAAAGTCATATAAATTATATGTTTTTAAAGAGGCAAAAGTCGCTCTGGAGTATAAGTCACATTTTTGGGAGATGTATATTTCATAAAATCCAAAACAAGAAGAGGATGCATGAACAACAAACTGAGAATGTGCCTGGTTTGTTAACGTAACATACTGTATTACGAGTCATTCAAATAGCTACAAGTTTGAGAGGCATCTGGCTGCAGGCTCCCCCCCCCCCCCCCCCCCCCCCCTCGCAGACCTCCCTGTTCAGCCCCTGTCACGTGACCTCCTTCAGGAGCCCCTGTCACGTAACCTTTGCCATGAGCTACTGTCACTTCACTCCCTGGGACTTGAAAACGTTTTTCTTCATAAAGTTATAAAGCTTATATTTAACATATTGTATATATTTTGTAACAAACAAAAATAGTGACGTTTGTTCCACAAATTGTGACCAGGTATTATGTATATGAGCGTTTTCATCTGGGCATTTGGGATGCCAAAGAACAATTCTGTTGCCATTTGTTTACAAGAGCGCCACCTACATGTCACCCATAGTATAGAACATGAAAACACGTCGAAAAGACAATATATATGGAGATACCATGGCGAGGCTTTATTATAGTCAAGAGCTGCAACTTCCATTCATCTATATTATTCTCGCAACAGCAATAAAGTTACATAGGTACCCAATATTTCTTTTTTCTATTATTTTCTAGAGGAATAAGAGTTAGCTAGACCTATAGGTCTACTCACATTTTTGATTTTCCTACCGTTCTGTAACCTGTGATACAATACTGAACATTCCCCGTTTGTGGTGAATAAATTATCTCAATGATAAAGCCGTTCAACTATTTATTATGCATTCACAATAAAACACCCCTTTTATCAACTCATTCAGCAGAAAAGAGTTCCATGTCCTCAATCCAAGAGAAGACAAACTTGAAGGGCTCCAAGATGTTCTCATGCTCCTCACTGTCCAGGTCAAAGTCTCCCTAAACTGAGAGAAGTCTGCTTGTGTCTGGTAAAGGAAGTGACGTAACAGGGGCTCCTGAAGGAGGGGCTCCTGAAGGAGGGGCTGAACAGGGAGGTCTGCGAGGGGTGGGGAGTCTGCAGCCAGACTCTCTTGACAAGTTTACCAAAGAATCAGTGTCACTCCAAATCTGTAATTCCAATGAAACAATATTTAAAATATAACATTTTATAATTTCACACATAAGTCGCTCCAGAGTATAAACCACTTCCCCGGCCAAACTATGACCAAACTGAGTCACAGTTTGGTGATTGGAAAAATATCCATTGCACCTGGATTCATCTTGGACCAAAGACTGTATATACAGTAGATGGACATTGCTAACCCGCTAGCTCAATGGGAGAATGCTCATGGACGAAGTTTTGCTCCAGCTCGCTCTGGCTCCTGCTGACTTTCATTGAAAAGTAAACTAGCACAGTAACCATTTGTGTCACACTCACCATTTTGAGATTTCTAATTCTGTGGTTTATCAATCAACCCTCTATGATCCCGGTGTTTATAATTTGATATTGTCTTTGTGAATCCAGATATGAGCCATAGGAATTTGAAATTTAGATGCCTTGGTTCTGGGGGGAAAGTCCAGCTAGTCTTAGCGACGTCTCAACAACAGCCCATACAAATGCCCATATAAGGAAATTGGCTCCAGCTACAGTAGCTTATGATCAAATTGGCCTGTTTCATAATCAGAGCTTACACGCACCACAACAGCATTATATCAAGAGTGCACAATAAAGTTAACAACTCTGTGCTTCATCCATGTCATAAAGCCATTTTTATCTTATCAAATAATCTAAGTTTATCCTTTTCCTGTGCATGACGCATGTGTATGACGCTTTCAAACAAATGTGTGGTTCTATTTTATTTGAGGATTTTTTTAAAAAATAGAATAAAAGATAGAACCTTGACCAGCTCAATTTCAGCTAACAAACTGGCAACCCAAACGAGAGCCTCATTCTGGTCTCTGATTGGATGATCAACTTGAAACTGGTTGACCAGTTCAATGTATTTTGAATTAGGAATACCTCCTTAGAAAAACTTTAGTTCAGAAAAGAACATATATGATTTGTAACCTATTATCTAGTACCACATATGTATTTATGGGTAGGATTACATTACAAGTTACTTGTATTAAACTTTTGTGAATGCACTGGAAACGGCCCCAAGTCCTGAGTAGCTTTGAAACAGTTGTTGTTTTGTGCTTTACAATTGTGATTCTTGCTTTTTTCTTGCTGTTAATTGTTCTACAGTACAGTGTTCATGCAGAGAGGATGCGTGGTCCAAACTAAGCTGATCAAGCGTAAATCCAAATTAAAAAAATGCTAATAAGCATAGAGAATTTCACTCTGAACCAGAGCAGGGAAAATGGTTAAACTATCTATCTACTGCATCTATCTATCTACTGCATCCATCTATCTACTGCATCCATCTATCTATCTACTGTATCCATCTATCTATCTACTGTATCCATCTATCTATCTACTGCATCTATCCATCTATCAATCTATCTACTGTATCTACCTACTGCATCTATCTATCTACTGTATCTATCTATCTACTGTATCTATCTACTGCATCTATCTATCTATCTACTGTATCTATCTATCTACTGCATCTATCTATCTATCTACTGTATATATCTATCTACTGCATCTATCTATCTATCTACTGCACCATCTATCTATCTACTGTATCTATCTATCTACTGCATCTATCCATCTATCAATCTATCTACTGTATCTATCCATCTACTGTATCTATCTACTGTATCTATCTACTGTATCTATCTATCTACTGTATCTATCTACTGTATCTATCTACTGTATCTATCTACTGTATCTATCTATCTACTGTATCTATCTACTGTATCTATCTACTGTATCTATCTACTGTATCTATCTATCTACTGTATCTATCTACTGTATCTATCTACTGTATCTATCTATCTACTGTATCTATCTACTGTATCTATCTACTGTATCTATCTATCTACTGTATCTATCTACTGTATCTATCTGTATCTATCTATCTACTGTATCTATCTACTGTATCTATCTGTATCTATCTATCTACTGTATCTATCTATCTACTGAGACTAGATGGCGGCAGAGTGAGTGAGGGAGAGAAAAGGCTCCAGTCAATTTGTCTCCTAATATTCACCCTAACCCTCTCAAACTGAACCGCACTGACAGAACTTGAAATCATATCCGCAAACATGCCAAAGCCAACAAGAAGACCAACACGAAATGATCCCGATTCAGCAGAAGACGACATAGACCCGACTCCAGCTACCAGTGGCTATGCAAATGCTGCCCGGGAGGCTAGTGCTAACGCGAGCTTCCCCGCAAAAACAAGCCTAATCGCTAACTCTTCGGAACTATCAACTGAGGCTCTGCTACAGAGGATTTCCATGGCTGTTGCAGAGGAGGGACAGCGCACTCAACAATCTTTGTTAGAGTCCTTCAACAAGTTCGAGGCCACGGTGGATGCAAAGCTAAACAGCATAATGACGCGCATTGACGCCGTGGTAGCCACCACCGACGCACTCAGCGTCCGAGTGACCGAATCAGAAGCACGCATTTCTGGGCTTGAAGACGGCATTGCACCGCTAAAAAAGCGCTTGGATGTAATGGAGCAATGCAATAAGGCTTTAGCAGACAAGGTACTGGACTTGGAAGGTCGATCTAGACGGGACAACATCAGAATATTAAACCTGAAAGAGGCCACTGAAGGAAGCGACCTAACTATATTCTTGGAAGGATTTATTCCCAAACTTTTAAAATTACCCGTCACTTCGGTGCCCATCGATCGTGCCCATCGGGGCTTTGGGGTACCTGGAGATGGACGTCCGCCCCCGATCATCATCAAACTCCAGCGTTCGCGTGATGTCAGGGTGATCATGACTGCGGCAAAGCGACAAGGGGCCATACAACACGATGTATCCAGCCTGAGGATCGTGCCAGATGTTCCACCAAGCGTCAGGATGGCCAGGAGAGCGTTTAATGCGGTGTGCTCGGACCTTATTAAGAAAAACATACGCTTTCTGATGGCACACCCTGCGGTTCTGTCCTTCACCACCGACGGCATCAAAAAGACATTTAGAGATCCAAATGAGGCTGCAGCTTTTTTGAACATAAACATTGGATCATAATATGTTTACTATTTCTTCGGGAAATGGTGTCCGGTGAGTGACTATTATTCTCTGTGCCAATAATAATATAATTTGTTTGCTTAAGCTGGTG